TTACGTAAATGTAACAATACATTATAATAAGTATATAAAACTACTCCCACATATCAATAAGCATTTACACTCGTAATTAATTATCGTATGCCAAATTATATCTATTCCATATGTCACATTTACCTCCATTTTACATTTTAAACGCAGCTTTATAATATCACGCTCACCAGAAGGAGCCTATTATATAGAAATGTCGACGGCCCGAGCCGACGTTCGAACCCTTAGAAGTGCCCTCAGATTTAAGGACGGCCTTAAGGCCTAAAGCATCCTGACTTTGTACCCTGTAATCTGACAATCACATCTACCTTTCAACTGCTTTGTTTGACGACAGAAATGCGACTGAAGTGAGACGTGCTGCATTCTTTGGTAGTGGAACCATAATTTTTTAGTGAATTCAAATAAATTAAAATTTAAAAATCATTAATTCGTGTAGAGTATTTTAACCGCTTATGAACGTCAAGTTGTAAATGTAAATGTAAGTTGGACTGCATTTTCCGCAATAAGCCTTCGTTGTGCGTGTAGAACGTTAAGTTTTTTATAATTAATATTTTTTCTCTACCGTCCAATTCAGTATACAGACTGACTGACTGTCAGACTATTTGGTATATATCTATGTTATATATTATTGTATCTCTTAAGTATATATACGTATATTGTATATTTTTTTTGTTCTGTTTATATTTTGTTGCATTTTGTTTACGTTTATAATTTTGCACCAGGGACAACCAGGCACAATCACCAGTTTATAATTTTACCCTATCTGTATATTTTTATTTATTTTTTGTAATATTTTTGTTTTGGGGAAGAGCATTGTTAGTAATGTGGACTAATAACCCCATTGCTATCAATGTACCATGTCAGGTTGAACTCCACGTGGTGGTCCTGGAAAACATCGTGATAAATTCATGGTGAATTTACCACGATGGGCTAACTGACCTGACCGCTCATCTTGTTATCCTGCACTGGTGCCCCGCCAAGGTATTCCATTAACGCAGGCGGATGCATCATTTCATTATCATTATCATCCATAACAAAAATAGACAGAGATAGAAACAATGAAGTACGTTCATATATTAGAATAGATCATTCAACAAGTCATTGCATTCAAGACATTTTTGGCTCGCTCTTTGTGCGCCCATAATATAAACAAGTCTAACTTTAATATTATAAACAACTGACATTTATTTATGTGGACTTGTCTTGAATTTGTCTTCACATTAAGCCTTTTACGGATCACGGATTTTTTCACTTTGACTGACTTTGGTAAAACGAGTAAAAATGAGATGCATGAGTGGCCAAAACTATCTTATATGCTATAATAATTTTCACTTCGACTGGCTTTGGTAAAACGATTAAAAAGTATTTTTAAATACACATACATATGTATTGTACAGATGCGCCATGTTTACGATTATACTATATGCAAGATGACGACATTAAACAGAAACAAAATTGCATGACGGTGTGTCACATAAATTACAATGTAATAAACTTACATTTATATTGTTATAAAAATAAACATCGCAACAAATGTGCAACATATATTTTGATAATATTAGTAGATCGTCGTTCCTATAGAGCCATGATACTGGTCTTTCGGAATAGCAATGCATGAACGGTACTCGTGGCGTCGCATGATAACGTGATATCTGTGATGCTGATCTTGTATGTATGAGACAAGAGCTACCTCTACCTATCAGGTTCCCACGGAGCTATGACACTGGTCTTTCGGAATAGCAATGCATGAACGGTACCCCTGGTGTCGCATGATAACGTGATATCTGTGATGCTGATCTTGTATGTATGAGACAAGAGCTACCTCTACCTATCAGGTAAGCATCAATTATTTAGAATTTGGTTTCAGATCACTGATTAGAATATTTTCTTTCAATAAAAATGCATTATACATATGCTTGAGGTCTTTATTCTCCCTAATTAAATGAAATTAATGAATGTATTACTATAATTATGTACAAGCTCATTTGAAAATAATGAGCTAAGTTTCTTCTTAGCTCAAAAGCACGCCAAACTGCTTATAGATTTATGTCTAATATATATATAATATAAGAGTTACACAATTAAAGATAATTAGAGTTCCAATTAGCTATACATATTTTAAAACAAAATCCCCGGCCACATCTGTATGTACATATCTTCATGATAATGCCAAAAACTACTTGGATTTTCTGTTTTCATGCAACATATATATTGTTGAGAAAGGTACATTCATTAAAAATTTAATATTAATGCTAAACTTGGGCAGGATACTAATTTACCTTTAAAAAAATATAAACTATATATTGGCTTACCTACTATATTTTATAAAATAATAATTCATTTTTTATTTCAGATTATTTATCAATTTTATTTTTAATTGATAGATTTTATATATACAGTATACAGATTTTCAATAATTTACTAGTAAAGTAATACCTACCTAATCAACTTCTTAATTTGTTCAAAGTTAAAACTCAATTACAATAACACAGTCTGCAAGTGATTAAATTTTAATATAACAGTACTGGAACTGTTGGGGAGATTAAAATTTAATCTCCTTATCACTACATAATAAACTTACACAAATTAATTCTAAGTTTCTTCACTTATTGGTAGTGTCGTGGTAGTGGTCACTACACCGAGTGGTTTATTACTCTAACTTGCAGCCATAAGGTTATAAATACAAATTTGGCCATTAATTATAACTTTACATGTCAATTTGTAGCAATCTGGTGAGCCATTGTTGAGAAACTATTTTGATATTAATATATTCAAAGTTTATTTCTTTGTATTCTCTAATTAAAATTATAAAACATAATTATATGTATGTCAATATTAAAATATTTATAAATAGTACCCTTTATAAATAGTTTTACTACATATTTCTACAACAGCTATTCCATTTGAATGATATGCTAACATTATCTTATAAAATTTTCTAGATTAGCTGAAAGAAATCTCTTTTTATAAACTCATCCTTGTACTTTACATTTATCATACTACTGCATATTTTTACTGTGTTTACAATAAACAATAAAGAACATTGTGTGCTGGTGAAGCACCAGCTAAGGATGACAGAACAGGCACAAGAATATCTTTAAAAGTAGTACCACATTTTCATATTTATATATAAAGGATTGTTAGTATTTGAGATGAATTCTACCATCTACCAGTTCTAGAATTCTACCATATTCCATACTACATACTTGGAATAGATCATAGTTCATATCTGTTGATTATGCCACAATGGGCTTGAATTATCTGACTGTTGTCCTGCCAGCGTGTTTCTGTAGCACAAACGAGTGCACATGTATAAAAAATATTTAAAAAAAAGAAAACCCATTTTATACTCTAGTAGAAAATGTAGAAAATAACATATTAATTAATCTATACAGATTGCTATTGGTTGATTCATGTTTACAGATTATAATGTTAAATAATAAGTCACGAATATTTTAATAGTAGTAATTAATGAGGCCAAAGAATAAATGTGTGTGTGTAAAACAGCCGAGTAGATAATTCACATGTTAAACGCAATAAGTCGTTTCAGCTAATTGTAATTCATAAGGTTTAATTTATTAAAAACTATGTAAATTTATTTTTAAAACGAATTATTTACTTATTCGATGTTTAACGTAATATTTTTACTTACCTTGTAGCGATTTCTTGGCTTTTTATTCAGCACTCAATATTTTCTTATTATTAATTAACATTAACACAAATTCTTTGTTCTCTGTGAACTATAAAACTTTAAGTAGGCCAGTAACAAAAAGAAAACTTGTTACGTCTTTAGATTTAAATATTGCAAATTTCACAATTCAGAAAATATCATTAATACTCGTTTCAGTTTCGCACTGCAAGGTTTCCAGCTTTAAAAATATTTCCAAATTTTAGCCTTAAATTGAGCACATGTAAATAACCTGTAAAATAATGTGATTTAACTAATAAAAAAAACATTATAAGAACAAAAGAAAATTTATTGTATTTTGTTATAACAATTAACACCTACAAACTTTATTTTCACGCTTTGGTGTTTTAATCTGTTTCATAAGATTGCCATGCATTCATCATCAGCAATAATATATTTAAAATTTATTGATGACAAACGTCATTTTATTGACTCTATTATTAAACTTTCATAAATTTACACAATTTTAATAGATAATTTGAACCACTAATAATATAAATATATATGAATTTTAATTAGATATGAAACGGCTGTACTTATAATCTTTATAGAGATACTCTAATATTATAATATAAAAGTTAAAAAATATAATTTGTACTAAATAAAAAAAAATCTGCATGTTAAAAATTTATCTGGAATCCTATTGTAATAATTTTTCCATAGATAAGCGTATAAGTCCCTATGTTGGGAACCCTGTCACAAATACTACATTGAATCTTCGTCTGTCACGTGTGACTGTCAAACTATCTGTCAGTCAAGCTAATAGGTGTTGTCATTTAAATGCATATTGGACATTTATTTAAGGGTTAAATTGGTTTAGAAATTAAGATAGTACGAATGTATGATGTTAAATCGATCTTCTGTCTCATTCCAACAGAGATCAATATCATGATTTTGTTTAGAGCGGCGCTGTATGTCCTTCCGCGAATTGGAGTAACCTCTACATTCGCCCCATTTTACATCCGATGTCTCTGTAAATGCTGTAGTCGACAGCCAATTGTTCGAAAAACATTATGTAGGTATTTTAATTTTTCAAAAGAAATTATTAAAAAATGCCTAAGTAGAATCTACTTACCCCGTGTTTCTTTGCATATTTGTATGTTTAGTTTAGTAAAGTAAAAGGAAACATCCTTTTACTTTGTTGTCTTTAAAATACTTTTATGCTATCTAAAACTAAAAAATCTACAAATTCGTTATACAGATCTAGCAACTTTATTTTAAAATACTTGGTTTGACAACTGACTGACAAGTCGGTTTTCAATAAGTACAGTCAAAAGTCTGCAAATAAAGGTAGAATCTAATCCTAAACATTTCTTTTTTGAATAAATTTTTTCATTCTTGTTTTAGTTTTTTTTTGGCTTGGATATACAGATATTTTTTAGTTTACTATTTTTTTTCCCTCTATATAATATAAATTATTTTAAGTAAGGCCGAGGGCCATAAAGTGATAAAGATATTTCCCAAGTTTTATTTATATCAGATATCGCTTTAATTAATGTGTTTTTCATGATTTATACCATTTAATTTACAGTTAATATGACGTTAAACAATGCAATAAGAAAAATACTATCAAGGAGCAGCGACTTTTGTTGCCTTTGCTTTGAGACAATAAATGGTACGGCCTTTTCGCCTACCAATGAAGTTGTAGTTAATGTGAATCAAACCCAAAACAGCTTTTCAATGTCCGATGTATTATCTACTGTTGTAGGAAAAGAAGTAAGTGAATTCTATAGTATAACTTCCTTAAGCTACATAATTCCATATTAGACTCTAAATTGTATTGTTACACAAATATTACGTCTCAATGTACCTGAGCGTCACTAGTAACTTTTAGAACTATTATAAAATAAATAAGTATTACTATCAAATAATTTTCTTTATTTAAAAGAATATAACGAAACACTAGAATATATATAATATCAGTATGGTTTTAGTTTTATGTTTGAGATTTTATATTAGTAGAATGCAATTTATATATTTAAACAAAGTATAGTTAATAGCAGGGGCTGCTCCCTGCAGTGGGGAGGGATGGCTTGTTGGATAATAATAAAATATTAAATAGATAATTGTATAAGTAATTTTAAATTGCAAAATTATTTAATATTTTGTCTTAAACTATTTAAATATGTGATTGTGTAGGAGTCACCTACAGACTGTTAGTAATTGAGACTAGATCCAGGCTCCATATAGAAGCTTATTTGCTAGGAATTTAGTATTTCAGAAAAGCTGTTGAATTTACTATGGTGGTTTAACTGAACTATCTATTTAGCCATCTCAGTCTTTTAGCATGTTACCTACTATCATACAACACAATTACATTACCATCAATTAAAAAAATATAATTCACATGCCTCTACATAATTTTGTTACAGATATTGAACTATGTATCTACATTTGAAACCCTATGCACCAAATGCACACAATCTGCAATTAACAGTTACACATTTATGGTACAAAGTAAAGAGAATTCGGAGTTACTATGTAAGGTGTTGAACACACTCAAACAAAATATTGATGACACTATTGAAGAACAATTGAATTGCAAAACACTGTTTGTGTCTGTGAACACAGAAACATTTACTGGTAACCAACATTATGACAATAAAAGACCTGTGTATAATGCAAGTTCAGCTGTGCGGAGATATCGGTCCTTGATCAATAATAAACAAAAACTTATAATGGGTATGTTTTGCCCTCGGCGCATAAAGAAAGAAGTAAAGAAAGAAAAACTAAGACATACAGTTCCAATAGCAACTTCAGATATGTTGTACGATAAAAATGATCAACAAACTATAAAATGTAAAGAATGTCTCAAAATTTATCCTACAGTTTTGAAATTACGTACTCATTATATAAGAGTGCATGCTCCAAAAGTATTCAAATGCACAGAGTGTCCAAGAAAATATGGGTCTTTATCATTTTTACAGGCTCACAAAGAGGAAAGTCACTGTACTATTGTATGCAGTGAGTGTGGCAAGACTTTCCACAATCGGAATACACTAAGAATGCATGAAATGGGTCATCATATGCGATTTGTGTGTCAACACTGTGGCAGAATTTATAAAAATAAAAATACATTCAAGAAGCATATAGAACTTGATGTGTGCAGTAAAAAAACTAGAGCATCTCCGTCAGAAGCAAAGTTTACATGTGATTATTGTAATAAGAAATACACTCAGAAAGTCTCATTACGTGTTCATATACAATTTGAACATGGGAACTATAAGGTGCATGAATGTAAATGGTGTAAGAAGAGATTTTGGGCGCAAAGCAGACTTAAAGCTCATATAGTGAAACACACTCAGGAAAAGAACTTTCACTGTAGTACATGCAATAGAAATTTCGTCACAAAGGAGTCATTACTCTATCATACACGTATCCATACTGGAGAGAAGCCGTATGAGTGTTCAGAATGTGACTCCAGATTTTTATCTGCTTCTCGACGAGCTGAGCATGTCAAAAGACATCATAGAGGCGCGACAATTCAGTGTGATATATGCAATAGCAAATTTAACTCTATGAATTTTTTGCAAAAGCATAGACGGACACATTTCAAGAATGAAAAAAGTACACAACAAAGTTTACTCTTAAGTAAGGAGAAAAATCAATTAGGTGATGATGTAAAGTCATTTGTGATGACCCAAGAGGAATATCAGACGCACCAGTTACTTCCAGCAGTTTTTGATAACGACTTTGATAGCCGCATGCCATCTGATGAAGAAATATATCTTGAAATATCAAATCAGTACATTAATAAATGATGCAGTAGATCAGTACATTAATATATAGTAATAGATGTGAAGTAAGAATTAATAACTTATTAAATATTATGCATAAAATTATCAAATGTAATAAAAATATACCTATTTCATAATATATTCTTGATCTCATAATATATTCACAATGTAATCGAATGAAATAAAATCTAAGGTTTTTACAGGGTTTTGTTATTTTATTTAAAACTACCTTAAGTTTGAACAGACATTATTTGTCTTTGGAAATTATCAATAACAAGAATATGTTATACTACTCAAATATTATCATTAAAAAATCTAATAAGCTCTCATAGCTTATAGAATTCCAAATTATTTCTGTCAATTGTGTCTGAACATAATTACTTCAACTGAGCATTTTAACCCTGTAAAGATAAAAGTAAATGTGGACATGAGAATATTTCGCAAAATAAAGGACCATAGCACATAACAACGTGTAAATTTATTTCAGCTAGGCTGTATATACGTGTTTCTTTGCTGTGCCTGTTAGAATCACTGTCACGGACTATCACCGGTCACCGTCTGTCAATCTGTCAGTTGTTTACAATCAATGTGTTTAAACTGCCAGATGTTTATATTATTTTCTATTCAGTTTATAATATAAATTAAATTTGTATTTTGGTATCTTTTAATTCAAAATGCAATATGACTTTCCTGGAAGACACATCAATAATTCTTATATCTCAAGTAAGTAGATATTATTTATGATTAAAGAATAAAATAACCCAAAAGCCAATGAGTATTGAGTCTTACCAGTGTATTGCCGGAAGACCTCTAGGGTCTGAAAATGCTAGTTACTTATTTATAGTAATTCGTAGTGGATGACGATGTGAAAAATGTGAAAAACCATGTTACGTCGGTTTGAGCATGTGGAAAGGATATCGGGTATAAGATTAACGTAATAGAATACAATGCTAAAGTGGATGCTGGTACAGACAGGTACGGTTTACCCATTAGATAGATTTGGCAACTGCCTAGGTACTTCGCGATGCCTAGAGTGGTCAATGAAAAGCTCCTATATGGTTAATTCGACCCTAGGTATAGAGTGAGGCTTAAGCTAACCTACCTTGATCAGATTGATTGTGTTTGTCACTGGATGGACTATCTCTCTGATGTCTCCTAAACCTGAGTACTTGTATGAGAGATTTTATGAACATAAATGAAGCTAATTTATTAAAAGGCTAGTCAATGGCACTCATCATTCTCTGCCTACTCTGCAAGGCATCTGGTGTGATGATAATAATGGTTCCATTGTAAGAGTAGGATGGTTATTATGTAAAAAATGCAATATGCAATGGCTAAATAAAACTACCATAGTGTGTCAAAGTACATAATGTAGTAAGAAATTATCCAAGGTAGACTTTGTAAAAACTGTTCCTCTTCTTCTATTTTCTTATATGGCAATCGGTTGTTATTGTAAAAAGAAAAGAAAGAAATTGAAGTAACTGAGCAATCTTTTTTTTAATTTTAGATATTCTTTTTTGTGGGTGGCTGGATATTCTTTGTGAAACAGCTGTTCCGTGACTATGAAGTCCACCATACCCTTGTACAGCTGATATTCTCAGTAACATTTGCACTCAGCTGCACCATGTTTGAACTAATTATATTCGAGATCATAGGCTACTTGGATTCAAGGTATGTACGTATGTATGTAATCATTTGTAATTATATACCTTAAGTATATAGAAAATACCAATACAAACAATTATGTTAATGAATACAAATGTTTGCACAGTGTAAGAAAATAAACTCATAACCATTGGAAGTAAGGTAATATGCTAAACAGCTAGACCACAGAGAACATTAAAATAATTCAATGTCATATCTTCAATATTAATTGAATTGTCTTAATTAAAAAAAATCAGAGTCATAATGTTGTCCATTGTCCGTTGACCGTAACATCTGTCCCTCGCACAGATGTTACAGCCTATAAATTAATGACATTGTGTAAAAATTAATAAATATATTATTATTATTATAATAAACATTTTTTTTCTGCAATAAACAAAGTTATGTGGATTGATTTGTAATGTAAAACAGTTCAATTTCTAGAAGTTCCTTAGACATCATCATTACTTAAAGATGTTTCCATGATGATAAAGGTTCCTATAGTACATGTATAGGAGAAATAATTTATAAATTAATTATTTTTCAGCTCACGATACTTCCATTGGAACCTAGGATTGTATTCACTTCTTTTCATGGTGATAGCTCTTATACCATTCTATATAGCATACTTTTGTATAAGTAATGTAAGATTTGGTAAGTTTTTTTTTAAATAGCATGAAATATATTGAATTTATTCAAATATTAAATTCCTTTGCATTGGGCATACAATTTTTTTAATCTATTACTCATTGGGAAAGCTGTCTCATTACAAGAATAATATGCAAGAAACTTAATGTACTGAATGTGTGCATTATTGTATTATAATTTTATAAAATACAAACTGTATACAAAAAAATAATTTAATTATTTTACATCTCTTTCAGTATCGCAAAATGCAATAAGACCACTGACAATGTTTGTGTGGTTTATATACCTATATTTCTTCTGGAAGATTGGTGATCCCTTTCCTATATTAAGTCCCAAACAGGTGAGTGAGTATGTTGCATTAATTAATAATAATACAGTAATTGTACATAAGAACAGGTCATTAAATACTGATTTTAATACATGATTAGCATCATGTCTTGGCATTGATATGTCGTTAATTGTCTGTGCAAGTAACTGACTCTGGTTATCTTTTAAATCTGCACACCCCTAGGGTGAAGGTGAATGGGGGACTCGGGGTTAATCACTTTGCTCCGGCATCAGGTTTTTAGCCGGTAAGAATCTGGCAGTCCCTGTCGGTCTCTAAGTCAACGGAACTGTAAGAAGATTTTTCTGATGAAAAAAAAGGGACTATTAAAAGACAAAGATATTTTCAATTCTATTAAACTTATCTTAACTACAGAGCTAGTGCCATACTTGGGAACTGTTCTTTTTTTTGTTATCTATTGCTATCATTTGCTATCTATCTTTATGACACATTAGTGTATATGTATTGTGAAAGCTGAGCGAAATAATTATATTAACTTTATTAGATGTTACTCTACTAAATTTCACACTGTAAAATTTCTTTTTCCTTAGGGTATATTCTCAATTGAGCAGGGAGTGTCTCGAATAGGCGTCATAGGAGTGACAGTGATGGCTCTACTTTCCGGTTTTGGTGCAGTCAACTACCCATACACATCTATGGCTATTTTTATAAGGTACATTAAAATTAATTTATTTTTAAATATATTATTTATCTAATATATAAATATATATTATTGTATATCGCTATTTTTTAAATAAATAATATATAAAATTTCATTTATTACTCTATAACTAATATTTAATAAACTAATAATTATTAATTATTTTTGTAAATGTCTGTCTGTGTGTCTAACGGTATTCATTGGTTGTACTCCAGTGCAGGATAGAAAAATATAGAATGGTGTCTTCTTCACCTGCACAAACGGTATACATAAGTAGGACTCCAATGGTGGATAATAGGATATGATTTCAGTTAGGTCAGCCAGCCTAATATGACGAATACGTTAGGAATTAATCACGATAGTTTTCAGAGAGTACTATGTGTGGTGGATTGCTAGTAATGGGGCCTCTAGGTCCCATTAGGAACAATCCTCTCATTTCCCTATAACTAGCAGTCGTTAGTTCTCGTCATCTCATCTCTTCGAGAGCTAGCGACGTGATAGGAAGAGATTCCGGCGACCATGGATATTCTAGATTGTTTCGTTGTACAGTTTATACAGTTATGTTGTCCTCTCTTTTCTTCAAATTAACTTGTTATGCGTGGAAAAGTGAGGAGTATAGGAAATGCAATGTTAATATAATGAATGAACACACTTTTTTAATGTGAATGTGTCTTTAATGTTATTTTTATCTCTTTTCTATAACATAACCAAAATGTAGAAGAACATAGGCTACTTTTATCCTGGTAAATATCACATGCATTCAGATGAAGTTGTGGGTCAAAACTATATTTGTTATTATAGTCAATTTATATAAAACTTTTTTTTCTAGACCAGTAACTCAATCGGATGTATTATCGGTAGAGAAGAAATTGCTTCAAACAATGGATATGATTTTGGTGAAGAAGAAAAGGATAGCACTAGCTGAAGCCAACAGTGTGGGTGGTAGACAGCAGTATAACATGTTGGACCAATCAAACGTGAAGAATAGAGGATTTTGGACAAATATTTTGTCCAGTGTTGGAAGTATTGCCAATCCGCTAAGTGGATCAGAAAGTTAGTATAAATTATCTAGATCTGGTTGTCGTAATACGCAGATTCTGTGCATTGGTGTATTACACACGTATCCGAATATTTTTTTAAGAACTCAAAGTCCTATATGATAAAAGAAAATTCCGTTCTCTATCTGTACAATAGAAAAAGACTAGTAGCAGATTTTCTGATAGTAGTCTGTGTAGTTTCCTCTGTCTTACTAAATTCATAAATACGTAAATGTTTTTGTAAATGATTTTTTTTAACTTTGTATGCTTAATGAGGCATAACATAATGGGTTTTAATACTTATATTTAGTATTAACATAATAATAATTTACGGACAATTCACACAGCGCCATCTAGACCCAAACGAAGCTAGCTAAAGTTTGTGTTATGGGTACTAGATAACTGATACAAATATATAGAAATTTTATTTTTTCGTAATTACATATTATACATAGAAAACACCCAGACCGATACAAACAATCATACTCATGAATACAAATGTTTGTGCCGTGCGAGGAATCGAACCCGCGACCATCGGACGTAAAGCGGTGTGCTAGACCGCTAGATACAGCTATGGCAACGCATACGTGTGTCAAATGATAACTGTTGTTGTTTATATATACGAGGCCGATACAGCTTCCCACCAGATGGGCCACCAGCTAGTTTACTATTCGTAATACATAAAAAAACCTTTTTCAGATATAAACCAACTCAGGCAAGAAATATCCGGGTTGGAAGAGTTGAGTCGCCAACTGTTCCTGGAGGCGTACGACGCCAGGACAATGCGGGAGAAGATAGAGTGGTCCAAAACCTTCCAGGGGAAGTACTTCAACTTCCTGGGGTACTTTTTCTCCCTGTACTGCATATGGAAGATATTTATTGTGAGTATAGTAAATAATATTTTTTTTTTTATGCATAATTTTCTAACAATTATATATTCAATCAAGATTTTCTGTAAACTAAAACAGTTTATAATGTCGTATGTAATTCCGCCAGTGTATTATCTTTATAATGATTATGTTTATATACGGTATACTGTTTTAAGTATACATGAATTAAGAACTGAGCCCTAAGAACATCATGTCATCCGGTGAAGCCTGCGGTACTACTCATGCGTTGCCATTCCATGCGACTAAGGTGTCATACCCAAAGGATGCATGCCCTACACCTTGTAATTCCACTGAACTATCTCACCAACCGAAAAACTTTTTTAAAAATATATTTTCACTCAAATTTTATACGAAAGTAAACCTATATAACAAACCGCAAAACTGCTTAGCAGCTTTGTTTATCTTACACAACTGCTTATTAGCTAAAATAGATTCGAAAGGTACCCCTGACTTTGTACAAAGTCTACTTCAATAAGCTAACTCCGGAATAATACATAAATTCTGCGAAGAAACCCATTTTTGATCTAATATAATATTGTTCCAGTCAACAATTAATATAGTGTTTGACCGTGTGGGGAAGAAGGACCCTGTCACTCGAGGGTTGGAGCTGGTGGTGAACTGGCTGGGCTGGCACATAGACGTCAGTTTCTGGTCGCAGCATGTCTCCTTCATACTCGTTGGTTGCATCGTACTCACCAGTATTAGGGGCCTGCTGCTCACACTTACAAAGGCGAGTAATTCTTACCTTAGTAAGAGTCTTCATTAATCACGTGACGTTTTCTTAGCAATATCCTAATTTTTAAAGAGATTATTCCTTCTAAAATGGTTGGCAACGCTCTTGTAATTCCTCTCGTGTATGGATGCTCCTGGGCGGCAATAATCACTTACCATCAGGTGAGCCGTAAGCTCGTTTTTTTTACTATGTAGGTAGTAAACAAGCATACGGCACTATCTGTAAACGGTTACCATATCCTATGGACCAGGCGTGTGATGTGCGCGTTGCCGACCCTTAAAAAACCTTACTATAACCTTCTTGAAAAACCCTATGCTGTAGTCACTCGAGAAAACTTCAGCAGGTATTTATTCTAAGTGCACGGCTAGAAGTTTCTATTGTTTCTCCCCTATGCTATAAAAAAAAACTATACAATTTACTTTACAATTTACGCGATAAATAAATTTGATCGTGTATCGCTATATCGTATACAAGTGGCTACCTTAAGGTCGGTGAAAAGTTTGCTTTCAGCAATAGGGCCGCTTAATTGTAACGATACATGTATCCTTTAATATATTGTTTATGTCTTTTCTTTACTCTATGTTACTTAATTTAATTTACAGTTCTTCAACAAGATATCATCATCGAAATCATCGAACATCATCGTGTTGATTCTCGCTCAGATCATGGGTATGTACTTCTGCTCGTCCGTGCTGCTGATGCGCATGAACATGCCGCCGGAGTATCGCATCATCATCACCCAAGTGCTCGGTGATCTGCAGTTCAACTTCTATCACCGGTGGTTCGACGTGATATTCCTTGTGAGTGCCTTAACTAGTATATTCACATTGTATTTAGCACACAAGCAGCCGTCTGTCAGTTGATGTTTCGACTGTGATTTGTGTTAATTGGAGTCATTCTATGCATATATATATATAAATCTATATTTGTTTGTCTGTTCATATTTTGGGATCATTCGATTACGACAAAATTTTGTCAACGTATACCTCGCAATAGAATAAATAAATAAATAACCTCAGAACAATTAACACAGCACCATCTAGTACCACGGTACGCAGAGCTTGTGTTATGGATACTAGACAACTGATTTAAATATTTAAACATATATTTTTTTGTAAATACATACATAATATAACACCCAGACCAATACAAATAATCATACTCATGAATACAAATGTTTGTACCGTGCGAGGAATCGAACCCGCAACCATCGAAAGTAAAGCGGTGTGCTAAACCGCTAGACCACCGAGGCCGTCGAAATATTATTTATTCAAATAAACTTAATATAAGTATTTAAAAATAGTCATTTTTCATAAGCAGACTCGGTACAAGAATAAGTTGCGTTGTTCATCACATTTTTAAGATTTGAATGTGTTTAGTAAAAGGTGCACTGACAAAATAGCACTATATTTTATTAGTGATATATTTATGTATGTCATATTTTTATTTATTATATATTTACATGCTGAGATTATTTTATTTTTTTCTTTAGTATAGTGATATATTTAGCTTATATAACCTGAGATTTTTTTTTCTTTATTAATAATAGTTTCATTATTTATGTTCAAATAATCTCCTAGACATACGTGTAATTAATATACCACTGTTTTCTAAATCAAAATCTAAAATTAAACCTTTAAAATCGCTACAACGATATCTTATGGACTGCTTTTGAAAAGTCACTAACATGCTATATTTTTATGCATAAAAAAGAATAATTCGCAGTTTGAAAAAGGGTTTAAAGTTGTAACTCAACAATACAGGTCTAAAAGGGATATATGTATGTTTGTATATATGCAGTGCAATAAATATTTCGATGCAATTTCAAAATATATAGATTTTTAAATTATAAAAGTGGTACTTAAAAAATATCAAACGCACAATCAAAAACACTAGTGTAATGATAAATAAATTATTTTAAAGTTAAGTTTCATAAATTAGAGAAAATGTTATGAAAAATAAATTAGAGACAAAATATATTGTAAGGTGCCCGTTAAACGACCAAACTGTTTATTATTTAATAATTGTTTCTTATTGTAAACGTTGATATTTGAAATTCAACACGATGACAATGATGATGATGATGATGATGATGATAATATTCTATGATTTTACAATCAATTTGCGTTTATTATCAAGCCAGGATATGTAAACTATTGTAACTTACGAAAGCGATTGATCGTTTAAAGGACACCTCAGGATTGTTAGCTTTTCAAAAGACTGATGATCGGTATATATATTTAAGGATAAAATGAATGAATGATTTTAGAAATATAATAAAATGCTAGTCGAAAATGTGTCTACTTATGCCAATAATTGCAATAGATGTTTTTAAGGTTTAAATAGAAATAATCTTTATTTAATAGAAATTTAATTCAGGATATAAAAAATTTAATTCTTCTGAATGATAAAATAGCTTTTATTTGGTATATCTACATTTATAAATTAGTATTTTCCCTTAAATAATGAAATTCATTGAAGAATCCATGTGATTTAATTACTGGCACTTATGATAAGTTAAAAATAACATCAGTTCATAATACAGTATAAGAGAGAAATGCTCTTTTCAAATACGATTGTACATAATTATAATAATAGCTTAAGTATAGATGAATACATTACATACATACATTGAATAAAAAAAATCAGCAGCTATACTATACCAGTTTTACAAGCAGCGCCCGTTCACGAGTATGACGGCTAAAAAGTAATTTTGTTTACTTCATTTAGTTTGTACATTAAACATTCCATACTATCAACAACTCAGAAAAAAAATGTTTATGTAGAAAATTTGTATATTTTCTAACGCCCAATAAAATCTAAATATTATATAAGCGTTTTATTTTTACACTTGAAAAACAATATAATTAAATACTAGCGTGCCGTCCCTGCTTCGCACGAGAGGATATTTTCTAACACATTGGGGTTACATTAAGGAGTTTTAGTAGGATCTCTATTATATAGCCTATGTTACTCATGGATTCAATCTAATGGTGAAGGAATTTTTGAAATTTGGGTATCCAATGGGACAGATTTTTGTATAGTTTGAATCGTTTGCTTTCCTCTTTATATTATAGTACTAGTGTAGATGTAGACAAGTATTTAATGTGCCTAAAGCATAAGGCATAATTATAATAGTTACACGTCACAGGTGTATGCACTGATACCATGTCGACTTATTATAGTTGTCCATTTAACAATCATAAAAACAATAAATATAGCGTGAAGTATTGATATCTATACCAATATTATAATTACGAAGGTGAGCTTGTCTGCATTTGTTTCCTTTAACAGCTGATTTTAATGAAATTGGACGTAAATATAGATTGGGTATCACACACATAGACTGTTATAGTGTTGATATAAAAACTTAAAAGCTATATTCAGTCCGGGATAAACAAAGTGAACCGATATTAAACATAACCAGAAGGATATTTGAATTAAAAGAAATTTAATTAATTAAATAGATTTAATTAACAATTTATAATATCTTACATAAACTATATCGTAATAAATAGAAAAGTTTACTTGGAAAGGCCACCTTAATTTTTAATTACAGACAGAATCGAGATATGCGCCATCCGATGACGTCATTAAATATATTAAATATATCGAGTTTTAGTTGAAGCTAATAAGTAGTTTATTACCTACGGACTTCGAATTCAAAATTTATACTAAACAAAAGAATTTTTTTTATACATGTGGTACTAAAACATATTCTATTTGTTTTGGTACACAAAATAGTTTAGTACACTTTTGTACAACTTAGAAATTTGTCACAACATTTTAACTAGTGTTTTAGTTAGCCAGAACCTTTAAAATAGATTTGGAGTTAGGTTGAAACATTAATTTATAAAATATTTCAAACAATTTATAAAAATGCAAAATAAAATTCTGGTGTTAATCTGAATTCATAAAATCTGATATTTTTACTTAATGTTAAATTGATCATTTATCTATCTATCAGGTACCACTTATAGATATAAAGGTATAAGCAGTTAACGTGCATTTAATATCCACATTTTTGAAGTGGGTATACGCGTGCTCATATTGTATGAAATTAAACATTTTTATATTAAGTTTAATTTTTGCAAACGATTGGGTGCTATTTAATATTGGTGTTATATTTTGAGCAATACATAATTTTAATAAATTTGTAGCCCCTTTAGTTTATATATTTTGTACTTATTAATAATATATAGAAAACTACAACCGGATTTTAACTTAGCTACATTACCAATACATTGCATGGTAGTACATTATTCAAGTTTTACGAATTACTGTTTTAGTTATTTTAGTGTACTAGATTTTAGATGTAATAAAAAATGCAGTGTTATTTGTACACTTCGAAAACGACAGTTTAAAAATCCTATTGATAGAATAAATGGTAATACTTTGAACTTTCTATTAATATATTTAGATAAATAGTCATCAAATATTTTCCTAAACAATGTAGTATATTTGAAATATAAATCAATTTGAGATCTTATTTAGATATAAATAAAGTTCATTATATAACTTGGCTAACAAATTTCATAGATCTAGTATGTACATTTATTCTCCCATTACATCCTCGTATTGCTTTCTGAAGCAGTCACCGACGGGGAAGAAGTCCCAGCATCTCTGTGTATACATGTTCCACACGAACGTCTCTTGACCTGTATGATAAAAACATAATTTATCTTTAGTTTAAGATACTAAATTATATAATAATAAATAGTCAGAAAATTTTTTTTTCAAATAGATCGTACCGATAGTACTATGTATATTCACGTAAAAGTAAGATTGCTATATACTTGGCTCAGGCCCGTACATAGCATAAATAAAGCCGAGAAAAAAGTAATGACAACAATAAGCTGAGTTAATGAGACTACAGTAATAATGAAAAATAGTGAAAATAATAATAACAGTTCACATAACGCCATCTAGTCTCAAGCTAAGCACAGCTTGTGTTATGGGCACTAGACAACTGATATAAATACTAGGATACTTTTTTTTTTCGTAAATACATAACGTAAACAACTTATCAACTATGTTAGTAAAATAATCGCGATTTTTATTTTATTTAATGGTCCAAGTAGATTTTTTTTGACACAATCTGAAATATACCATACCTGTGTACTCCGTGTCCGGTTTATTGATGAGATGCATCAAGAAGAACATGTAGTTCGCCAGATTATGTTCTCTCTGTACGTGCGTGTCGAACCCGTGTGGTACCTGCAAATGTAATAATATAACAATAATATCCTTGGATAATCCACACAGCGTCACGTAGTCCCAAGTTAAGCAGAGCTTGTATTATGGGTACTAGACAACTGATATAAATACATAGATACTTTTTTTTGTACGTAGATAGAAAACACTGAGACCGACACAAACAATCTTCCTCATGAATACAAATGTTTGTACCGTGCGAGGAATGTAACCCGCGATCATCGGAAGTAAAGAGCGACTGTGCTAAACTGATAAAGCACCGAGGGCGTCAAAATGTAACATTTTATATTTACTTCTACCCGAGTATATGTCTGTTTGTTTACCATTGATTGGCATAAATCTATTTATGACTGATTAGCGGGACCGCTAGGCAATACAATACGGGGACAACCCGAGGAATAATGTTTTAAAAAAGATTGAAAAGGTGGTTAGTGTTATTTTATATTTGTGTCGAAAAAAGCAATTACGATGCCTAATATCACAGAATAAAAAATTCAATTGGACGTCTCACGTTGGGCGTCAATGCCAGGGCAAGCTCCAGTTTACGTGAATATAATTACCGGAAGTACGAAACTGTCACTGGAACTTGCGATATCGGTTGGCAACTTAGTGGTGCGTTTAGGGCTGCGCTTGTTATAAGCTATAGTTTTTAATATTTTTGGATCGCTTTGGCGCAGCAAGGCCCTTAACCATTTGCCTTCCCTTAGCCGTTTTTTATTAATGTTCGATCTGGCCCTATGTATGCTAATTTAAAAAAGTATTTTTAGGATTTGGGAACCGTACCTTATCAAAGTAGTCTTTATTAATGCCGCATATAAAGCAGTTGGACTCCATATCCTCCTTCACAGACTCCAGCTGGTCACGGAGTTCACCGAACGCGTCGATGATCAAACCTGAATTTCGAGGAATAATCAAAAATTATTTTAGATTTTAACCGTTTCTCATATCTATCACCAACCCCATTCCAGAGATCAAAATGACGACGGCGCTAGCCTTTGATCGAACTTCTAGCGTACTATCTCTAACCTGAGGTATACGACTGGAATATCTACAGTCGTATACCTCAGGCGAGCAGGATGACGATGATGAAGAAGAAGAAGGAGATGTCAAAGATGATGCCGGTTCACAAGTCCTTTCCCTGGTAAAATACCCTTAGCGCTCTATTTGTGTCCAGTGCAATTGTAAAAATCAGTTGCGATCAACAGCATTAGAAAAATTCTCAAAAAAGAAGAAAAAGTTATAAGTTCATACTCGGTCCTATTTCCTTGAGTGAAAATACTTATATCGGAGAATATATGTTTTAGCACTCTTTTGTTTTTTAAATCTTGTTTTCTAGATGCCATAAGAATCAACTACAGGAATTCAGTTATACAAAAAAAAAAATCTTCTAATTACATTTTAAGCAGGATTTTATGTACATGTTACTTTACTTAACTTTATTTAGTACTTACCCTGCAGGATAGCGAGCAGGATGACGATGATGAAGAAGAAGAAGGAGATGTCAAAGATGATGCGGTACACCTCGGAGTCATCACCGTCCGGTGGCTCCAGTTCATCACCAATGCCACCGCCCGCTCTTACGCCTTTGTACAGATTGAACACGAAGCACTGCGGATAATATACATTTATTTATTTTTTACTCTATTTTACCTGAAATAATATATATAAGAAACAAAATTTATAGTGAATGAAGGTACAAAAGGCAGTCTTAATGTTTAAGTAATCTCTTCCAGACTACCATTGGGTAGAGTAGAAAAGACAAGGTGATAGATAGCGCAAGAATGGAATGGAAGAATCGTAAGTAATAATAAAAATATCTAATATATAAATATACACATTATACACATACAGTACGAAACAGTGTTAAGCGGTGTCTTATAGTATTATCAAAGAGTGTAAGAATAGATATTTGTGACTCTTTCTTTCGTTTCTTGAACTATTTCCTCGACGTCTTTCCGTTATGAACATATTTGGAAACCTAGCGCTGCGCACAATTTCGGGGATTCCTTGGGTTGAAAAAAAAGAGCGCTAAACGAAACAACAATAAGCGGGTTTTAATGTAATATTAAAAATTAAAGGAAAATTGAATAAATGTTGAGCATGATACATGTTGAAAACTGATAAATGATGAAAATTGATTGAATATACATCGAGGTCAACCTTTTTAAACAAAGCAGACGAAGTCGCGAGTAGCAGTTAGTATATATACTTTGGTTTCTCACCGTGAGCATGTCGTGGCAGTTCCTATTGACCTCGTCGTCCTCCTCTTGGACGTAGAACTTGCGGAAGAAGTTGAACGCGATCACCGTGTATATATATACTATTATAGTCAACAGCATCACAGTCAACACCAGCTGCAAATGAAATACTCGTATTTATATCTATATTGTTTGCTTGCCGCAGTCTTATTTTGTAGGTACAGTCAACTTCATATATATTTACTTATTATTATATTAATACGTGAAAAAAAATTTGTATCCCTTTTTAGGAAAATGCTGCGGACGGATGAGTATGAAATTTCGCACACTTATAGTTTATATAGAGAAGGAGTGAAGAATGCTATTGCATGCTGCATTGGTATATGCATAAAAATCTGTTAAATCAATAAATACACTACCATGTATTTGACACACACACATATATATACTCTATTTTATTATTTTGCTTTGTAAGTTCGTGGTCAAATTAAGAATAGATTAATATTGTTTGTCTTTAATATCATGTCTCTATTCTTACTGAATATTAATTATTTATGGTCGAATTTCGTTTACTGTCGCCCAATAGTTGAAATTCGACTGTAATTAATTTAACTAATATATAATAATGAATACAGTAATAATACTAATATATATAAATATATATGTACCTGTTTCCCGTTGTGCGTGACGGACTGCAGAATGGTCCTCAGTGTCTTGAAGCCAACGGCGACGTCCAGCAGATGCGCGGCGAAGAAGAAGTTGTTGAAGTTGCCCATGACGGAGAAGGAGAAGTACCACAGAGAGTACAGGAACGAGTTGTCGGTGATCGTGACGCCCGCCTTCCACACCTGGTAGCGCCAGTCGATGTTGATGATGCTTTACGAGTAAACAGGAAAAATCATTTAATCAATTTTCTATATATATGACAGCGTCAAGGGTCTAGTGGTTTAGCACGTTTTACTTCCGATGGTCGCGGGTTCGATTCCTCGCACGGTACAAACATTTGTATTCATGAGTGTGACGAAAAAAAAATATAACTATGTATTTGTATAGAATTCAATACTCACTAGTGGAATAGTCCTTTGCTGCCTTCCTCCTCTTGTGCGGAGAATGATGTCTTCTCCATGCCCAACATGTTTGATATGCTGTCGAAGTCATAAGTTTCTGAATACTTGGCACGAACTTTCTTCTTCACGAACTTGTCCCAATAGTTCACGGGGAAGGATCTGGAATTAAAAATGTTAAAGTATTGTTAGTAATAAGAATTAGTACTTCCATTGGTTGCTACGATACATCGCTAGCATTTGGGCGACTAAATCAGTCCGGTCGACCTCCACGCGGTAGTACCACAAGTGGTCGACTAATTAAACCCACTACCATATATGCCTTAATAAATTTTATATATGCCTTAATAAACTTTACAATTGCTGTCTTTTCGTAATTAAATTACTGTAATAAATAATTTCTTGTATTGTACACGTGTGTATTTTAATTTCTCATTTCAGTATTTTGTTTTATATAAGAATAATATAATACTGCATATTTTTTAACATTATTTATTATTATATAATTATACTAGGGACCCAAGGATACATTATAAATATTTGAATTACTCTGCTTGTTCTGTATTAAAACACGCATATCTTATATATAAAATTCTCGTGTCACAGTTTTCGTTCCCATACTTCTCCGAAATGGCTTGACCGATTCTCTTGAAATTTTGTGAGCATATTGAGTAGGTCTGAGAATCGACCAACATCTATTTCATCCCCCTAAATGTTAAGAGTAGTCCACCCCATCATTTTATTTTAAGGCAAAACAGCGTTTGCCGGGACAGCTAGTATTATATAAACCTTCCTCTTAAATCACTCAATATTGCTGAAGACTGCATTAAAACCTGTTGCGTAATTTAAAATATATAAGTGAACAGAGGTGGCGACATTCTTTGTAAAGATTTTAAAAGAATTAACGAACATGACTATGTGGTTAATTTATAAGCGGTCGAAATAGGAGGTAGAGGTATACCAGCGAAATCAACTATTACAGAAATATGTGAATTGTAACTCACTTGGCAGATATGACGAGTTTGTCCCAATGACTCTTGAGATCGTCATCCTCGGGTTGCTCCGCGATGTACAGACCGTCGAACTCAAGTTTACGAGCTATTTCCTTCTCACGTTTGAAGATAGCTAGTGGCACCTGACAACAATCAATGTGGGTTTCTCGAGAACATCATTCATATCTATAGGACATTTTTAGCTACTAACTATATATAGGACATTTCTTGCTACATTCCGTGAATTTGTGCTCGTGGTATTTGTAACAATACTCACAACTTATTTATTTGGAATATAAAACAAATCCTTAATTTCTAATTACCTACACAAAAAAAGCTAGATCCTATTTACCTTAAGATGATAGTATCCTATAAGTATAGCGAGCGACACGATGGAGTGGAGTACAGCGGCGGCTTTGATCACGTGCTCCATGTAGAAGAAGTCTTCATCTATATGCACCACTTCTAGACTGTCATCATCTTCACCTGATTCACCGCTGCCACCTGAGAGGAACACATACCGTCACTACTGTTATACCGCAACTTTTGACACATAAAGCACTGTGGTTCGTTCACTATTAAAGGAGTTTTTCAATGACTTCGAAAAGTGCTAAAAAACGTCAACTGCAATGGGGAGTAAAAGTTTTTTAATCAGACTTATCACGGATGGGGTAATCAAAGGCATTATCATGTAAATTCAACGTGGTAAAACTATGTTTTTACAAAAAATAAAACAAGTATTATAGTCTGCTTAGCATTAGGATAATTCATTCTACAAAACACGTGCAAATTTTAAATTAAATTAAATTACAAGTTGTTCGGATTCCATCACAGGGTGACTACTAATAATAAATAACGTTTCGCCATTTTATACTACCCACGTCGGTAGAATTTTATATAAAACTTACCATCACCACTTCCGGAGCCCTGTCCAGACCCTGAACCGGCAATGATGTCAGCCAGGCCAGAACCTTCTCCGTCCTCTTCAGAGTCAAGCGTCGATACCTGAAACACAAAACATTTGCTCCTTTTAGATTAGTCCCAACGATTTTAGTGCAACCTTAGCCTTTTTTAAATTATTATGCACGCTCCCCCCTATGTAACACACTTTATAACATTAAACAATTTTATTGTTCACTTAAGAAATTTAAATAATAGATTTTAAGAAGAAATTACTAGGAAATTGTTAATGAAACAGTAAGTAAATTTTCAAAACATAATGAAAAATAATGGTGTCGTTTCCTCTTTATCTTGGCAAAAAAAGAAATATCAGAAGCAAAAGGCATGTATTATATACATATTTAAATTTTGTAATGGACACGCATCATAAAGAAAGGTAACACATGTATTTCACGATAACATTAATGATAGTTCATATATATAATGATTGTCATTTGAGTTATAAAAGAAGTATTAAAAAAACTGACCTTATAGAAGAGCAGCACGAAGTTGATGCAGAAAGCCAAGACGAGAGCGACGTACTTCAGGTTGTAGAAGTTACGGGCGAGGAAGGAAACCGCGCGGCGAGTATACTGCGAAAGGTCCACCTGCGATAGGGCTGATGGGGCCGGCCCTTGCACTGCCTACAATGAAATACAGTTTTAATTTTTAAGATAGTTTACAATTGTATATATTATATAAGATTTACCTTCAAATACAGGACAATAAATAATTAAATCTAGAATTCACCGGAGATTTGAAACCCGTAAGTAGGCATCGATATATTTCGACACATATTATAAGGGGAAAATGGGGCCGACAAAGTGTGACTTTATAATAATAATAATAATAAACTCAATTAATATTATTTAGCTTTCATAAAACAACTGAATATTATATATGTATAAATCATATATGTACATACAATTGTGTTACTTAGTGCGCCGTAGATTAGTTAGGTTTGCCTCCTGACGTCGACTCCAAAAGCCGCGTGTTCAAATTTGGCCGAAACACCAAAAACCGAGTTGTAAGCTCGAATGTTGTTAATTAATAAATAAAAACTTTCGCGTTATAATATTAATAATATAATAAGTATCTACAATGACATGTTATAAGCACTTACTTTCCTGCGATAGTATCCTCGCTGCATTAAAACGTTATGAATTATGAATCAAGCTTGATTGATAAACAACGCATGTTTAGCTCTACAAATGGCATAATAATACTTACAAGTATAAGCTTATAACTATAAAATTAGATACATATTAAAAGCGAAAATGTTTCTGTTTGTTTATAGCACTATTCTAAACCCATTGGCTGTATCTGGTACCTTTACAACTTCAACGAACGATATGCGAGGGTAGAAGGTATTCGACGTCCGTGGAAGGATTTCTAGAGCGGTAGAAGACCAATTCCGGTCACTAAAAGTACGAACTTCGGCTCAGTGTCGTAATTTGCATGCCTTTTTCAATTGGCCAGGCTGTTGATTAAAGGGGGGTGGGGGGGGGGGGGGGGGGGGGGAGTGTGAAGCAGGTCTATCTGTTAGTCTATTTGCTATTTTTTCAGTACTGGCTGAATATGAATATGACTGACCGCATCATAATGAAATGTGAATATAGATTGTATGCAGTACTGAATAGTACCTAAGGTCCGAATAGTCTTGAGGCGATATATCAGTTAGTAACATTATTTAATAACTTGTCCCTTTTAACTTAGCTAATTATAGTTTAATCTCGTTTCAATGAGATTAAAGATATTTGTATAACAACTATTATTATTACAATAATGTCTATAAATATAAGGTTGTCTGGAAGAAATCCCTCATTTGGGATAATTTCGCCATTGTACATACAGTACATACAATTTAAATGTATTATTTATTGTGCAATAAAGTGTTACAAACAAAACAAACACTAATGACTTTACATTATTTTCATATGTCAAATATGAAAATTCACTTTCTAATTTACTATTTTGTTCTAGACTATGTACAAGATAACATGCTTTAAATGTATTTTGTTTCAGTTGAATTAACAATTAAATAAAATGATAGTGGCCTAACCTTCTTGCTCTCAGCTTCGATGGCAGACATGGCAGCTTGTTGGGCAGCCTGCGCCTCCATTCTTTCTTGTGCCTGTTTCTTTGCCTGCTCACCACTGGTCAAAATGAAATGGGTATATTGAAACAGTTAAATTATATTGAAATGTAAGTAAAAAATGACAGAGTATATTTTACGTAATGAATAAGCTGCCGGTGTTATATGGCAATGGCAACCGTCTAAGCGTTGCCATTCCAAAGGACTGAGATGTCATATATCTTATTCTGTATTTTCATTACCTAATCTCAAACTTCGTACATCCGAAACACATGTTACAAAGCAAGCTGCTTAATAGGTGAGACTGAGGTATCGACTGTAGACAACTTTTTACATTCTACCTCTGGTCTTATCTAAATAAAATTGGAGTGTCTGTTTGTAATTTTGAAATAACCGTTTCTTACTACTGGCATATGAACATAAATACGGTACATACACCAAAATAACATTTTTTACAATTTTTGTCTATCTGTCTGACTGTCTGTTTGTTCCGGCTAATCTCTGACCGATTTTGACGGGACTTTTTTTTGGCAGGTAGCTTATTAATAAGGAGTAACTTATGCTATCTTTATTTTAGAAAAATAAAGTTAAATTCCACGCGAACGAAGTGGCGTGTACAGCTAGTCATAAATATAAAAAGTTGACGACAAAGCAATACGACACGATAGTCAATGGAAAGATTATAAAGACAGGTACATACCCCAGTAGGTCGATCAGTGATGGTGGTCGTTGTTCCTCAGCATGTTCCGCCCCTTCGTCCAGGGACGCGTCTGCTTCTTCGCCTGAAGATGGTGTGGAGGTGCTTGGAGACTCGTGCGGTTTCACTTGGATTCTGCAAAGAACATGTTATTCATCAATCAAAGAACATTATAGTATTCGACCACATTTTCAGGGTTCTTTTCATTTCAAATCGAAATAGCAAACAACGGTGGCCCACCAGATGGAAAATAGTAACCGTTGCCTCTATTTATTGAAATAGAGTTTGTACAAATTTATCTACGTAGGATTCTCTGTTAATTCAGATGTTTAGTGATGCTCAAGATATTTTCCAAGCGTTGCTAAATTGTTCCAGACTAAATTGTTACAAGTAACTTTATATCCCATGTAATTTCATATGGATAGATGAGACAGAGCAACACACGGAGACGACTTTGTATAGTCTCCCTATATATTAAGAAATAAATTGTAGTCATAAGCTAAAGACTAGTCTACGAGTAACCTTTCCCGAGTATGACGGATGACGTTTATCATTTCAAGTAATACGATACTCACTGCCCATTGTCTTCTTTTGTGATATCCAGACCAAATGCCTGAACTTGCATTTGTCCAGTATCGTCAGCTGGTGGCAATGCTGGCAGATGTCTTGTTGGACCTGCATAGAAGATCAGCTTAGAAAATAGGCATCGAATATTTGTAAACAATACCTTCCGGATAGTCAGTCATGAAAGCTGAGAGTATCATTGTTAGCAAAGTACCCAATGAGGTTTGCCTTTGGAAACCAAACAAAACTATAAAATGTACCGTCACGGTTCTAAATAGGATACATTATTTATATTATTAACCGGATCTTAACACTAATAAATAAAGAGAAACTATTTAGATAGGGTAGTCAAAATAGCTAGCAATGTTCAGTCAGCGAAAACTGTAGCATTCATCAGGTTCTCTTAGGAAACTAAACAAAACAACAAACGTCGCCGCGATTGTTATTTATGGGGTAGTCAGAGGTATTTCGACTGTTGTTTCGTTAAACGCAACACTTGAAATGCTCATATTTCGTTCGGTATATTTGAATCCAACCCTTGGAGAACATAGCGGTTAATTGCTAGTGAATTGGCCAAACAGTCTTCGAGATGAACTGAACTGAACTGAACTAATGATGAACCAGATATCATTCATTTTGGCAAATCGGGAGCTTATTTGTGTAACGCTATTAATAACGATTAAATCGTAACAGATTAAAATTCTAGAGTCGCTATTTTTACCCGATTACGAAGCAAAAGGAACAGTTCTGATTTTAAGGTAATATTAAATATTTTACTTTAACTTCAAATCATATACACATACCTGTTTATATATATATAAATATATATATAAACAGGTCTTTGTAGGTATGTTACTTCATCTGTACCATCATAATTACTTATCAGAATTTGTGGTATTTTATTATTATTTGGTATCACTAGAAGAGTTTTGATTGTCGGTTGTTGTAGGCAATGTGAGGTCATGTTAAATTGACCAGGGCGCCCTCAAGAGAACATTTTTTGTTTTATCATAAGTAGTTAGATATTATAATGTATAGGCACGTAAAATTTACAGATATAAGCTAAGTTGCAGGTTTCATCATTGCAACTGAAATGATCCATACATAATTGATAATAGAAATTTTAATCTGATGATAATTGTTAATAACAGAGTCACATAATTAAGCCCCGGTGGTCTCTGTATATTAAAAATTTACTTCTTTGAATATAATATATTACCATCAGTTCTCTTACAGAATAGGCAGAGAGATACTGAAGTGTCATGATAAGGATTTCCAAAACTATAGAATATATCTCGAAAGTAGTATATTAAATGGATATTTCAATATATATTATATAAACGACAACACCAACGTGTTAAATTTATATACATAATTATGTTGACTTTATTTCCATACGTGCTTTGTTACTAGTACATAACAGCACATGTTTTTATGTATTTTAGTGTGTATAGAAAATTTAAGCTGTTTACACATTTAACTGGATTACTTGTGCTAAATTTATGCCAAGTGCGTATGTGTAAATCGCTTAAGAGGCCGTCTTCGACATGTATCACGACATTATATAATGTTTAAAATGTAAATATACAAAATATATATAGCACATTTTTAATTGTGTATTCTTTTAAAGGATTTTATTATCTAACAGTTTTATATAGGATATTATTTCTACATACATATTATTACAGTAAAAATTAAGACTAACGATTTCAGTAATCAACACTGTGCCTAGAATCTAATGTTCGCAAATTCGTTTTCGGTACAATACATGCGTTTGTATTCCCAAGTGTGTTTGGGTGTGTTTTTATACATATATGTATAAAAGAGAAATATAAAATAATTATATATCTAAAATAATTATATTCTATCAGTCGTCTTACTATTCATAGGTTTTAACTTTGCAATATTCGGGACTCGATTTTTAACCATTGATAATCATCATTCAATCATTCATTCAATCATTGATAATCATTCAGGGTTGATAATCATCCTATTAAAAAATCGAAAAATATATGTTATATATTTTTCGAAAAATTATATATAATAAGTCGTGATAATATGCGTTTCTGAGCACGACGGCCTCTTAATGTTACCTGCGATATTAACATCCAAAAGCAGATTTATGTTACAACAGTGTTACGAATGTTACATATTAAATGTTACAGTTCACTTACAATTATTGTAATTTGGAAAATAAACATCAAATGTTACATTGTTAAACCTGCGTTTGGCGGTTTAGTTTATGTTGAAGTTGTGATTGCGTTTGGTCACTTCAATGGACATTCTATGAGACTTGCTGTATAAGGCACTTACATACGGCTAACAGAATACGAATAGCTTGAAACGAAATCGTTCGGGGTACAATGCACGTTACCTACCCTTACATTATACTGTATTATTTAACGTATGCTATATAACTCAGTATAATATATATACACGTAATAATGTTCATAACATAAAAGTTACAATTGTTATTTGCTACTAGCTGTACCCGAGGATTCGTCCGCGTGGATTTAACTTTATTTTTCTAAAATAAAAGTAGCCTAAGTTACTCCTTATGCTACATGAGCTACCTGCGAAAAAAAGTCGCGTCAAAATCGGTCCAGCCATTTCAGAGATTAGACGGAACATACAAACAGACAGACAGACAAAAATTGTAAAAAATGTTATTTTGGTGTATGTACTGTATTTATATTTATATGCATGTAGTAAAAACGGTTATTTCAATATTACAAATGACACTCCCATTTTATTTATACGAATAGATAAGGTAGGCCATATAAAATTATAGTAAGTCCTGCAGCTGATGTAAATAGGTATCAATAAAATTGTTATTATGTTTATTGCTATAACTTAATAGTTTGCTAAATATAGTTCGTTAATAAGTACTTATTTTATGTTACATTAATTTATATATTAAACGTGTCTCTGTAAAATGAAATCTGTTGAAATATAGAACAAAATTTTAAAAGAAACTTAAAAGAAGAATTTCTACAAAGTCTTTTAGAAATATGATGTCCAGTGACCAAACGCAATAGCCGAAGCTTCACACGTCGATACCTGTGGGTGTGGTGTGCCTTACTTTGACTTGCGAGCAACCTGTGCTTCAACTGACCGATTTTCTCTTCCTCAGTCGGCTCCGGAGGCACCTCCTCCGTCTGAGGACCCCTCATCAACCCAAGGAGCACGCCGAATATGTACCTTTATGGTAAATATATGGTAATTAATATATTTAGTAAAGTATAACCATTTCAAAGCTAGGATTTAGAGCTACACATTATTTTTATACGTTTATTATATTAAGAATTTCATTATTATGTACGTTACGTTATTATTATGTATGGGAATTCGATGAACTTTTTGTTTTCCTCAAGATGCTGTGACGAATGTACCGTATTCATCCTAAAGAAACACTCCGGATAAACACGGAAAAAAAACTTTACTAAGTTTTTGTACAAGAATAAATATTTTGATGTATTAATGGTATGCGCTGGATTTGTCTGCTTACATATTGTTATATTAATTGATTATGATTTCCAGCATAAGTATTGTTATTTTCATGATATAGGCATGTTAAATGGCGGTAAAATTATAATAATATTATTGAATTGGATATTAATCCAACCAATAATGTTGGGTTTTTTGGTATCATTTGATATATGTAGATATATGTAATTATTGCATGATCATTCTACAATATGTAAATTAGAATAACTTTACGTCGGTATTGAAAGTATTTTAGGACAAAATTTTAATTATAGTTTTTATTAGCAAGTTGCATAATAGAAACAAGACATTCGAATGTTTTATTACTCGAATGATTCAATCATGTGAACGTTTTATTTGAATGATTATCGACGTATTTCAATATGTTTAATTAGTGTATGGAAAGATTTCGATGAAAATAACGTTATTATTATGATTTTTATGGTATTTCAATATCAATTTATCATTCATATTCTGTCATATTTATACGAATACGAAAGCTTATATTTTTATTAATTTATATTAAGCAGGGATACTAATTCATGCAGCACTATTACTATTTATTTTATTTTATACTAGTATTAGTATAAATATAGAAATACAACTAAATTATTGTAGCATAATAAAATTATTGGCATACCCATATCCATATCTATATACTTATTTTGATTGGTTTGGTTGGTTTGTTAACTTTGAAATGTTACTCCAGGACAATGTTATTCCAGGTAGTTTAAAGATAAATATAATTAAATTTACTTTACTTTAAAATAGTAGAGCGATTATTCAGACGAAATTTGAATCAAGTGGAAACTATACTTACCTATATTATTTACAACTATATATTAAACTAAAAAAACTGTGTTGGACAGACAGAATAGTGAAAAGAAATAATAGAAAAATAGCTATTTAAGTTGACTATTGCATTTTTTTATTGTTCGGTATTAAAATTAATTACTCTTTCATCAATCAAATCGAATCAAAATATCTTTATTCATGTAGGTCTATTACCGACTCTTATGTTATGCCAAATGTACCATCAGTTCGGAATGCTTTCGATATGAAAAGAAGGGACAAGAAACTCAGCTCGTATTCTTTTCAAATATGGTTGTAAATGTTTACAATAATACAGATTCATTTTTAAATTTGGGAGAATAGAGTGAACACCAGCATATACTATAGCAATTTTGTCAAAGGCAAATGTAATCAGTGTTCGGTTCATTTTTAAATTATTTTATATAGTATATTTATTGATTAATACAAATTATTATTTTTATTACTACATATCATCACTCCGTACTGCTTGTAGGGTAGGCAGAAAGAACAGAGAGTTGAACTTATTGAGTCTTGTTACATTCACTATTATAACTAATTTACGCAAACACACTGGATCTAATGTTACCTCATATTGTATATTTGTACAACTCTCATTATCTATTACTCGTAATATAATTAGATGTATAAATATAAATATTAGTATTAATTAAATGTAAATTGATCAATAAAAGTATAAGAGTTGAATACAAAAGGTGCATAAATTACACAGTGGCTATAAAACACGGGTAAAATAATTAAATACGTACACAATACAAATATAAATCTAATTAAAATAATAAAAGACGGTATTATTTAAAAAGAAAATCATTTAAAATACAGAAATGACATGAAACAAATGTAAAGTGGAGTCATTACCAATGACTGTGCACCATAGTTATGTTGCATGAAATAGAATAATTCAATGATATAGGTACATATATAAACTCGATATATGATTATCTTTTATATATAATTCCTTTATATGATATAAATTATTGATTACTGAACTGGCTATGGTCATATATAAAGAAGAAATGGTAGATAATACGAAATATTAGAAATGATGTACAAAAGACAAGTTTAATTACATTTTCAAGTTCTCTACTAGTAGTAAATAATTTATTATGCATCATTTCTATATCATAGTATGAAATGAGTCCCTTCCGCTGTCTGTACGTTAAGATCTTTTCAATTACGCAACGGATCTTAATGCAGTTTTTAGCGGTAGATAGAGTGTTTTAAGAGGAAGGTTTATATGTATAATACATGTACACCCGTGCGAAGCAGGGGCGGGTAGATATATAAATCTGAATTTATTGTCCTAAAAAGCCTTAAAAATGTGATAATGAAACAAATGAATAGGTCCTTCTGACAATATTAAATAATCTATTAATTTGGTAGAAGAATGTTGAAATGAGTAAGCAAAGTTTTTATGGGACTCGAACCGATATATTTTGTTTGCCAATTCAGAGTTAAAAATTTCCTACATTATCTACCAGTAATAAATAGTATTAAAAAAAAAATGCTTCACACGTATACAATAAAGTTGAAACTCACCTCAATTCAAAGTTAAAAATTTCGTAAATAATCTACCAACATGAAACAAATGTAAAGTGGAGTCATTACCGTATTAAATTAATTTAGCATTCAATCGTATTAAAAAAATGGTTTATACGTATGGTTGAAACTCACCTGATGACGACCAACACACCGTATCCCAAGTAGTAGAACATGTAGAAGAACATTTTAAAGAATCCAACAGCCAGTTCAGCGGGAGGCATCTGGTGTAGGTCCGCGATTTTAGCCTTTATGTTGGACGGTGATAGAGACGAAAATGCCGTGCTGAAGCCGTCCTTAACAGATTGGAGGCCACGTCGGAATGGGTCTTTGCCGGTTCTGAAAGGATATTTTTTATAAATTAATATTTTAGCATAAAGATATTCATAGCTAAAAAAGAAAGTTATGAAAATAGTTTGATATTTTAAGAACATGTATTTCTCTATAGGAAAATAAACGTTTTAATTATCTATTTTTTTAATCTGTGTAAAAAATAATAATGTGTACATTATTATTTGTTATTTTTGGAAGAATTTTACTAACATTCATCAAATCTCTGCCTGAAAGTAGTGAAGATACGAGTTTGAACTTTATTGCTCGCACATTTTCGGTCCTAATTTCTATTGTAATTTAAAAAGTATATAAAAGATAATAGTTAATAGAAGTGTTATATAGTGTTATATAAATACTTCCAAATAAATTGGCAGTAAAAATACCTTTCGTCATCGTCATCTCCCATGTACATATAACTAGCTTCTCTATTCTTGGGTCCACCTGCAGCCTCCTCAGAAGCAGCCATAAGACTGGACGCATGTGTCATTTCAAAGATGGCGTCCTCGCAGAAGTTCACGAACGCTTCTAACTTCTCTTTATCACCACCTTCTGTTACTATGCTATAGAAGAACGCACGTTTCGATTCCTAAAATAGATTTGTTATATTTAGTATTTTATAGGAGCTAGTTAAAGTGGACTCGGTACGAAGTTGCCTGTATGGGCACCTCATTCGTTTCAGACAAATGGAAAGCAGTTTCTTTGTAAATCGTGTTTCGGTTACAGAGAGTGCAATCCTGTCATAACATTTTAGTTATATATATATATACACTCCTTCTAGGAGCACAACCATGTCAGAGAATCAATTACCTGATGATTATAAACGCGAAAGTTTGTGCATATGGATGGATGTTTGTTACTCTTTCACGCAAAAACTAATGAACGGATTTTAATGAAACTATACCGTAATAACAGAAATAACATATAGGCTATAAATTTCCCGCGAGTGAAGGCGACGGTTGCCAGTTACCATCAGGGGACCGTCAAATTTATTGCCATTTTAATTTCGAAAAAAAAGCGTACTCTGTAAGCATAAGTCTGTGGTAAGCGGTCAGGAAAGACAAGTAAAAGTACTTTAGACAACTGTATAAGCACCTTGATCTGAGGTTTCTCCCACTGTTCGATGTTCGACTCCTTGATCTCGAAGTAGACCCTCTCAATTCTCTTGGAGCCGCCCATGATCTCAATTCGGCCGAGGAATGGCTCAAAGTAGTTTAGCACAGAGCCGGCAGTTTCGAGGAAACGCGCCAACCTGACGACAATTTACTACGACTTAGCGCTCTCACACACTCCCGATATTAGTCGGACTGGTCGTTAGACAATTTCGATTGGCGCATTGCTTGCTATGCCTTACAGTTTTTGGGAATGCACCAATCGCAATGTGTCATTGGTACGGATCGCGTATGCGAAACCTAATAGTGTGAGCCCAGGTTTAGTAAGGTCACAATATATTTCGTTTTAATTCGTTTTGTCTTATAAGATTGTAATCATACCATATTCTGATGATTAATAAGTTATTATTATTTATTCGTCACTTTTGTTCAATTAGTGTTATTTGTTGCTACGCCCTGCCCTCCTTGGAAATGCCAATCGACATAAAACAATCAAAATTTCATAAAAACTGCGGCTGACACGAGTGATAAATTTAGGATGGAAATTTCAATATATATTCTCAAATTTCGTCTTTATTATTATATGCATAAGATATATATATACCAACACTCAAACAAACCTGGGTTCATTGGGCATATGTTCTGAGAGGTTGGTGAGTAGTACGGCGAGATTGAAGCCGATCTCTTTAGCTGGCTCGTGGAAACGGTCGCAGAACCCGATGTAGTCCAGTTTGCCGTCGTGGTTTGTCTCGCAACAAGCCAAGAGGAACTCTATCTCTTCGCTGTAAGATTAAAAATAGCGAGACTTAATTTAATGTTCTTTTATTTGCTCAAAACAATGTCATTTGACAAGATGACAATTTAGAAATAAGAACATGTGTTTTGAAATTTTGGCTAGTAATAATCTGTTAGGATATCTGGATTTCTAGCAAACATGTCATAAGCTTTGTTAAATAAATTTAAATTTTATTTTCATATATAAAGCAATGGAAGGCAAGTATTACACAAACTCTGCTTAGTTTGGGACTAGATGGCGCTTTGTGAGTTATACGTTTAGTTATATATTTAGTTTAATTAATTTTAAAAATTCTTTATTTAGGTAACACAATTTTGCCAAAATTCTATACAGTTGTTAAGTAAGTGTAAGTTTAAGAATAAAATGCCTGTACCAGAAGGCTCCATTCTACCATAGCTTATATAATAAGTTTTGAAAAAATATTTTTAATTTATTGTATTTATATTTTTTATTTATACAATTTAATTTTAAATGCTATAATATATGCTATAATAAATATATTATAGGAGTATGACTGAGAATATGCGCTACTTGAAATGAGACGGCAGCATGTGTGTGTTAAAATTCACACTTACGGTGTATAACTCTTCTGTTGTTCCATCTTCTCCTTGAAGTCTTTGGGCAGCACCCAACCGTCATTGTTGGCGTCTATCTCTTGGAAACTAGCGCTGGAAGTCAGGTCTTTGAGTTTGAGGAACATGTCAAAGTACTTAAGGATCAGTTCCACATTTGATGCAGACTCTACCAGCGTGTCTACCATCTGTTTACCGATAGTACCTGTAATAAACATTAATGATAAAAAATGATATTACTCGACATGGTGCCTACGGCTACTTTTTACCATCGCACCGCTGGCCGACAGGGAATTCATCCTCACACGCTGGAACCTAAGTGGTCTCGGACAGTGCGGTTTCAACATTCACATTGTAGAATGAACTATCACTTACCATTTTTACTATAGATACACTTAATCCATTACGTGGGGTTCCATATGGTTTTTCATTCGCTTACCTATAATTCCAATTACAGAAATAATAAAGAACTAATATAGTAAATAGTATAAATTAACAAAGAAATATGTCTTCATACCGTTCACGACGTTTCCTTCAAGCATAGACAGCATCATGGTGATCATGTCCTTCTGAAGGTTGAGCAGTTCCTTCAGCAGGTCGACTTGTGAGGAGTGCTTCGACAGTTTGTCCTGCATGTGAGAGAACAGGAACAGGAAACCACCCACAGCGTCCCATAACCTAAAAAAAAATATGTTTTTAATAATATATTTTATTTTTCCAAATATTCTAATGTTAACAGCATCGCAACTGGCTTCACCAAATGATATATATGTATTTATAGCAGTTGTTTAGTATCCATGACACAAACTCCGCTTACTGTGGGACTAGATGGCGTTGTGTGAATTGTCCAGGGGTATTATTATAGTGTTGGTGTTAGTTTACCCCGTCAACGACCTGTGTGAAGGTACATCATATTGACATTACCTGGAGTGTGCGAGTGCTTGCTGATTCTGTGTACAGGGTCCTTGGATGACTTCAGTGAGGGTGTTGAATACTTGAGACGCTACGCCGATAGCTTTGAAGAAGTTCGCCTTACCAGCCGGGTCGATGAGCTCCTGAATATGGAAATTAATATGTGAATAGAGAGACGGAATTTGCAGAAATATAGACAGACAAATTTGTGAAATGTCTTCCTTAAATTTTAGAGATCTAGGAAGATCAGATTTGCACTTTTTGTAACGATTTTTCTCCGAAACGGCTTGAGCGCTTAATCGAGAGACAACTTTCATCTAAGTTCGATTTCATCGAACGGAGGACGTTTATTCTTAAAAACTCGATTTTGACTGATCAGATAATTTCGAGTGGTAAACGAGAGCCTCCATCGTTTACCACTCAAAAAATAAACGTCCTCCGCTCAACATGTAAAGAAAAAATCCTGATGTATAAACAACACACCGGCAACAAACCTAGTTTACACTTTGAATAAGTTACATTCCGTATTAATTAATAATTACTTTCGAGTTGTTTCAGTGTATTCCTTGGAACTTGTGTTTGATCTTTTCAATAACAGTTTCTGTGTTATCGATTTATGAAAACAGAAACAAGTAACGAATTTGCCTCAGGTGTCTTGAGATACTTCCATAAAACTAGAGTAATTACATATGCCGACCTTGCTGGAGTAATGCCAGTAGAAGTCCATGATAGACTCCTGGAGCCGCAGCAGGTAGTCGACGGTGCAGATGACCACGTTCACCGTCGTCGTGTTACCGGCCTGGGTACGCAGGTAGTTCTGCCATTCTGTTTACATATCACAAAGATATAAACGATAAAAAAAAACATACTGTGTACGTATGTTTTTTTGTGACATATAACAAACATAATGTACTCAATCAAATCAAAATTTATTCCTGTAGATCTATTACAGACCCTTATGATATATCAAATCTACCGTTTGAATGACGTGATATGACAACAAACATTAACATTTATGACATCTTCCTAGTATTCTCACAACAATACACATACATATTGTTTTATATCATACACCACACAGACGACCTCGGTGGTCTAGCGGTCTAGTACACCGCTTTACGACCGATGGTCGCGGTCTCGATTCCTCGCACGGCACAAACATTTGTATTCACGAGTATGATTGTTTGTCTGGGTGTTTTCTATGTATAATATATATGTATTTACAATAAAAAAAAATATCTATGTATATGTATCTAGTACCCATATCATAAGCTTTTGCTAGCTTAATTTGGGTCTAGATGGCGCTATGTGAATTGTCAAAGAAAAAAAAACATTAGCAAGACATCCATACTAGATATACAAAAGCACTGTCATCCCATCATTCATCTATTATTCTAATTGCGAAAGTTTTGCCTGGATGTTTTATACATTTTCACAACTAAATGGCTCTTAATTAAAGATATATATGAGGATAAATGCTATTATGGGGATAGTCTTATATTTTAGCCCGAAAAATATCTGCTAAGTGATGAATTAAAGGATGAAAGTTAATGCAGACGAAGTCTCGGTTAATAGTTAACAATAAATTATATAATTACCCAAGTTATGGCCTTCACAGGTGAGTTGAATGAATCTGAACAAGGCGCAAGTGAATTCCGCATCGTGCATGTTCTTTTCACCAGCGGCGCCCTCGAGACCCACGCCCAAACCTAAAATTTATTTACATATTTGTATTATAATAATTAATATAGTTATTTATATAACTAATGTTAAGCCACCATCAAGTATTTCTGCACTTCCTGAAGGTTGACTGTTAGAGAATGCCTACAGCATTAACTCCGCCCTTTGTACCATAATGTATTGGTCAATAAAGTTTTAAATAAATAAATAAATAATAATAATAATAAATAACCCTGGATAATTAACACGGCGCCATAATTTTTGGAGGTAAAAAATGATTATTTTATGTTTATTTTTAATTATCTACACGGTAAATTAAGTTTAATTATATGTACATTTTATTTGCTCTTTTTTTCGTTTGTTGTTTATATTGTATTTTTTACATTGCACTGAATAAAATATTTTTCTTTCTTTCTTTCATCTCTCATTCTGCAGTTCAATATAGATTGTCGATCCGCGTGTAATTTTTTATAAGGCATTTTTTTTAATTACTTCAACTTGTCAATAACTATTACTTACCTTCAGCCTTCGTGTTCCTTTCAAAAGCATCTAGATCGAGCACCGAACAAGAATTCATAAGACCGGCAATCGACGTGAAGAAGCCCACATCCTTTTTGTCTTTCAGGTGGTTCAGCATACCCTGGTGAAGAATAAGAGTGTGTAAAGTAATATGAAATGAATCCTATATCTATTAATATTATAAAAATCGCTGTTGTCTTCTGTTTATATCTCCACTTCCTTATTTGAACAATATACGGGTTCTACTGTTATTTTAAGATGCTATCTATAGAGTGGAGTTGTGAAACCAGAGTGAGAATATATGCTTCTATAAATTTGTTGCTTTTGATAAGTGATTCACAATTATTTGAGATATATACCGTGCAGCAACAATGAGAATAATTGCTCGTTTAAATTTATTGCTATTGGTTTCATTATTATTATGAGAACTAAATTATGAGAATATTTGTTGTTTTTAATTAAGTATAGCTATATGTATAGAACTAGTGGGTTTTGTAATTATTTATTTATAGCCTGTGTAAGTACTTACCATCTGTATATCAATGTTGCCTCCCCTCAGTATAGAGATGCCTAGCTGCAAGGTCTTCATGACCATGTCACTAGGTAGACCCTTGGATGCCGATATATGCAGTAGTACCATTTCGGCTACACCACGATCGGCTAATCGGGACTGGTGGAACAGGAGCTTCTGCTTCTCCATTTCTTGTTCCTGAAAAAATTGCTCTTGAAACCATATGCTCAAAATACAAAAATATTTTTTATATTCGTTATTGTACAAAATCACGTATACTAAAGACGAGCTGAATGCAATATGGCATTCTCAAGGTTATGTGGTAGATTTTTTAAATATTTTTTAACTATATCAAATATAATGTTGATATTATATTAATAATAAATAGCTAGACTTATTGTCTGTTAGTATTAGCAATGTTATTCCTTTCTTGTATGTATATGGAAAAGTTTTGTGTAATCTTACTTCATACTAATATTATAAACGCGGAAGTTTCAGACTGTCACAACTTTGAACTTGAAATTTTACAATAGTACAGCTTATACAGCAGAATAGCACATAGACTATAAAATTCAAGGGGGTGAAACAGCTAGTAAGATATAAACGTAAGTTGGTTGTATATAGATATCAATTAGTGGACACATATAATAAATTTAACAGTTAATGTTTATAGTATATTAGTTATATACATACCATAAATGTTTCCATTGTTTTCTGCATGTAACATATTATATAAAGAGATTTTTTTATTCATTTCATTCATATCATAAATTTAAAGAGCCGTTTCGGCAAACGTTTCTTTGCCAAAATAAATTAATTCTAATAAATAAACTTCAGGATAGGATTACACTTATCACCTAGGGATATTTTGATAACAGACCTGTGACGGTATATATAAAATATATACCGATGTAAATAATTCAAATGATGAAACTACATTTGGCGGTCTGGTGATATTTCCACTAGTAAACCATTAGTACCAATATACATAATACCCCTAGACAGTTTACACAACGCCATCTAGTACCAACGTAAGCAGAGCATGTGATATGGGTACTAGATAACTGAAAGACAATAACACATAGACTATAAATTTACGCGGGTTAAACCGCGGGCACAGTAAGTCATACATATTGTACAAGGTACCGCCATTACGAATAGATACGGGATAAAGACTAGAATTGAAACTTACGTGAATACTAGCACGACCTTCTTCTTCACCCTCGGCTTCACCGCCCCCTTCCTCCTCTTCGTCACCACCTTCTTCCTCTTCTTCACCGCATGACTTGGCTATTATATGAGCGTATGACATATAAAGAGGGTCTTCCTGAAAAGAGTTAATAGCATTTTCAATATTTGTTATTTTTGGGATAATTTGCACATCAATAATTTTGCCGTAAATTTCTTTTTCTGGAATAATAATATTGTAAACAAAACAATTTCGTATTGTACTGAATATCCCTACAAATAATGCTGTAACTGTAGGAACAGGCCGACCAATTTGGGGCACTCACAAGCACCAGCCCGCTTGTTATTTATAAAAATTGCAACTGTACCAATAGGTTACAGTAGGTTTCTTACTGTTATTTAAGACATACGCAATTTGGTCGACTTAAAGGTGCCAGTCAGGTTTCGTATTTTTTAAGGAATAAAATAGTTTTATTCCGTTATTAAGTCATACCATAGAACCCTAAGATTCTCACGCCCATAAATTCCAATTCATTGAACAAAGTAAGAAAAATGCCAATGTCTTCTTAAAGTTGTCGATAATTGCAAATATGGAATTTTAATTTGTTATCGGTATTTTTTTTATGATGATTTTTACATCAACAGATATACACACATACACATTTTATAAGATAATATAAATTACAAAAAAAACAGAGTATATTAAAAAAGAAGAAACAGATATAATATATAAGTCTCAACATAACAATATGTCACTGCTGGTATGGAGATTCACTCTAAGTTTTTTGTTGTTCAGCTAGAACTCACGATTATAGATACAGTTACATTGGTACCTGTAAAGCGCCAGAACGTTCCGTCATGGCTCCTCTGCAAAAGGTTGTAACGAGTTGTGTGAGAGGATCCGGCTTGCCTTCTTCTTCTACCACATCACTCTTTTTTAACTCCGCATCTTCAAACGATTGCTAGAAATCATAATTTGTTTATTTATAATAATTTCATTAAGACGAAATTAAATTAAAGGAACAAAAAGTATAAAATAAGAGAAACAATGATCGAAATAAGAGATTTAGACCATAGAATATTGCATGAACAACGCACAAAATGTTTCTATGTCGTCAGTTTATCATTTCGTAGTTTTTACCGACCTTTTCTCTATGTATCTTTAACGCATTTACGGGGAAGCAGAATGAACAAAACACTTTGTAATTATTCATAAGTAACATTATCACAATGATAGTTCTTAATGATTTCCTAAAAAATCGACCTTAACATGAAGACGAATGAAATCTCTTTCTTAGCACTGTCCAATGTATAGTATGCTCTCCTAATTTTGCGGCGCCAAGACAAACTGTCCTGGATTGTCGAGTCGGGCAATTTTTGCATCGCGATAAGATTATCCATATGCTGGTCTACCAGGTACTAGGTAGGTGGACGACATATTTGTTTTCAAACTATTATATGGCCGCAGTTGGCCTTCACCGGACGATAGAGGGCCAGTGCAAATGGCACTCCAAATCCGCGGAATGACTTATGGAGCGGCTGAAGGCCAACTCCTGCCGGATACGACTTTAGTCTTTAGTTAGGGCACCGCTAGGGGTTTTAACCTAGGCTCAGGTGTCGTAATTTCGACCCCCGTGGACGGTTTCTATTTCTTTCATGTCGGGCCGTCGTAAGCTTTTTTGTCCACGTCTTCCTCGTTACTTCGCAATACATGAAGACGAATGAAATATAAAAAAAATAAGGAAGTTCAAAGTTAATTAACTGAAAAATCATTGCATTACCGTCAAATCTTCTATCATAACTTCTTGACCTATGTTCTCCTCTTCCAACCAAAGCTCGTAGTATGTCCGCGCAAATATATTGCACGCGCGATGTCTGTAAGGAATAAACTATAAATTAGTCCCCAATGATTTTTCTTCCTTGTCCCTGTTGCTATATTCCCTATCTTTGTGCAAGGACTGAAAAATTTAATTTATATTGAAATAAAACTAAAACTGTTAATATAAACAAGATAATAGTACAATAGACAAAATAAAGAAGTAATCATGAGGTGCTTTATTTCTAAATATCAAGTAGGCTTTGGACAGAGGTACAACTTCTCTTCATCAAGGTTTCAGGCTATGAAGAAAGATAGAGAAGGAAAGAGATATAGGTAGAAGAGAAATATAAATAGTAATTGTAATATGCTTTTTAAATATTTATGTAGTATATTAAATCAATGACGATCTATCGCCGAGTGAATTATTGAGAGATGACAATAAAATAAACATAATTTGGAAATGTAATCCGACAAATATCTCATCTCAATATTATTTATTTATTAGACGTATGTTTTATTTAAGATACCCTCATATCAAAGGCTACGTTCTAACATAATGTACATTACCTGCTCATTTTATAAAGGTGTATACTTCTTAAGCAAGCTACGGCTGCACGCTTTCTAGCAGCGCATAGTACTCGCTTCCAGTTCGTAGACCGTTGGGCCGGTTTAGTTGCCTAGTAAGTCCAATGCAGCATGCGAGCATTGAAATATTCGTGTTAAGTACACAACAACAATGCAAGTTAGTTCTATTGTACACGACCTTAGTGGTCCAGCTGTTAAGCACACGGCTTTAAATTCTAATGGTTACGGGTTCGATATTCACACACTATTCGGCGACAAAAATGCAAACAGTCAACACTACTAGGCTTCCAAGTTATAAGCAAGCTTTTATTCATTGCCTGATGATGCTTCTTTTTACGGCGAAACACATGATTCAATATGAGTGCAGACTCATATTGAATCATGTAACGGTCGGAATTTGATGAGACAGACATTAAGAGAAGATTAGAATTAGAAGGTCGTAACGCTTCCAGAAGTGCTTTTCTGCACTGAATACTTGTGGTCTTACACAGGCTAATGTTAGCGAAATTAAACAAAATAATATAAATTATAAGTGATGAAATGGACTTCCGAAAAAGAATACCTAATTATATAAAAGATACTCATAATTTGTATATAAATATATCTGTTTGTATTGGCTTAGGTGTTCTGTATATGTTATAGAAATGTATTTATAAAAGTAATTAATCGGCTTAGCACATAGTTTTCGTATTTTTTTATAATGAATCAATATCATCCAATAAAATAAAAACACTACCATAGTGATTTTTTTTATTGGAAGATCTTCCCCATTGTTTCCATATTAGATTCAAGTCAATTTAAAAATATTAATATCACAGAATACAATCAAGCACTACTTAGTAGACGTTAGTAGTACACGACAAAACCACTCTTATATCAAACAGTACACAGCACACAATCTTTTGGACCTTGGCAGTGAGTGGATGGAGGTCTGCCTGAAGCAGGCTATGACTGCTCGCTTCCTTTGTATCGATACCACTGAACGGTATACGTTCTTACTCATTTGTTGGGGATGGTCGATCTACAGTTATAAGAATAGAATAAATAGATTTTACAAATTCAAATTTATTAGATTCATTTCAACACCTAATGCTATACTCAGACTGTACTCTTTAGATTTTTTAGTTAAGAAACCAAATAACAATTCCTTTTACTTTTCCTATCCCTAAAAATGAGTTAGATTTTGGTTATTAAACATTCAAATTTTTTTCGAGAGATTCGCTTAATTTTTAGTTATTAAGCCTTTATTTCGATCGTAGAGTATTTTCTTAATGTTTATATATTGTTGGCCTTATCTCTATAACTCCGTTATTAATTAGAACGAACGTGACAAAACAGTATTTTTAAATGTGGAGCTTACCATATGCAATCCGAACAGCACTTTGCTCATAGCTACAATCCTCTCAACGGTGTCGTCAATGATCTTGGCCTTGTTCTCTGCAGTTTCCACGGTGATGTTCGTCTTACTCTTGGACCCCAGTTTGCTGTACAGGTAATGTTGCCAGGACATCTCATCAGCCGGGTCTATCTTGTCGGGAAGTGTTAGTTGGGTCTTGGCAAACTCTGCTACATCTTGTTCGGACATTTTCTGTAAAGAGTTACGTTGGATATTGTAAACACCATATGTTTTTCTTCTATAGTATAGAGAGAAACGAGCTTGCGGCTCACCTGATGGTAAGTGATTATCGCTATGAATGCTTGTAGCACCAGGGGAATTACAAGTGAATCGCCAGCCTTTTATGAAAGATTAAGCTCTTTTATTGAAGGTGTCAATATCGTAAGGAATACTAGAAGATAATTCCACAAAGTGGTCGTGCGTGGCAAAAAGTTTCTGGAAAAGCCACGGTGGAGGACCGCAATTCATCCAGATGATTGTAATATGTGACATGTTAGAAAGTGACAGAAAACAATTCTTACCTTGAGGAATCTATCTTTACAGTGCTGGACTAACTCTTGTTCTCTGCCAGCGAACAGGTTGAGGCCGACCGGCAGTAATCTCTTCAGGCAGGCCACCATCAACGATGCTTGCACTTCCTTATCTTTATCGCGTTTCTTATCGCGATGTTTCTTCTTTTTCTGTTTTATTAAAGTTAAAAGTAAATAAGTAATAATAATAGTATATCTTTGTACACAGACGTAGACGCCGTTGAATTCAATGTGGGGCAGTAGTTTAAAATATTATGTAACTAACAGATTATACCCGCTGTCTTACCCCGATAAATTTGGATACAAAACAGTTACAAGTTATATTATCTTTTCAACATTTACAACTGTTGATATTACCAACATTGATTGTTGGATAAGGGTACCTAAATGGGGTAGACCGAATGATTGTCAATTGTTGAATTGTCGTTTTTGCTGGGGATATTTGAATCCAACGTTGCAGGGAAGCGAATTGACCGCCAGATTACCAAAGAATCGGTCAGAAATATAAATTGATATTGATTAGTAAAAAACAGAATTCTACATTACAATACAAATATACAAAGAATTATTTCTTGACGATAGAATTTATTAATGGCACTACTAAAGATATGTCACTTGAAATGACATATGATACTGTACCTTTCCACCACCTTGGGGCGCCCCATCGGTGACTGTGGTCGCTCTTCTTGTAGCAGTTGGCATAATCAGCACCTAGATGAGTCACGAGATAGAATGAGACAATATAACAAATGAAAAGGACAAAATCAAGACTGAGTGCACACCTCTTTCTCACTTATTTCTACTGTCAAACATCTTGCTTTATAAATTATGTTTGTTTTATAGAGATAATAATGAAATGGTGCATTCGCCTGCGCTAACGTTTACGCTGGCCAGTGCCCCGGAGAATGATAAGATTAATTTATCGCGATGGATTCCAGGGGAAACCGCAATCCCCTGGAATCCATCGTGGTAAATTCAACCGAAATTTATCACGATTGACTTTGTTCTGATGTTCATCTTCAAGGAGGTCAACCTTAGACCTCAGGAATGCCAATACATCAGTGAGACTAATGATGTTATGCGATAATGTAGGTATCAATAGTGCTGTTCATGTATATACCGGTTACCGCTTACCATCAGGTGAGCTGCTCGTTTGCCATTCCAAATATATGAAAAAACATAAACAGCAATGTGGACCTCACTTTATCATATAAACCCAGTGTTACAGCGCTTGGGTTGCTATTAATAAAATACTTAGACTTACCATGTTATCGATTTCATTGGCGGATATGAAGTTCTGTTCTTCCTTCAGGAAGTACTGACTCTTTGACCAAATGTTGAATATCTCTGCTACATGGTTATATAGTTCTTCGGCCTCTGAAAATTGATAAACAAATGAATGACCCCGGACAATTCATGCAGCGCCATCTAGTCCCAAGCTTGTATTATGGGTACTAAATAATTTAAAAATATATATATTTGTTATAATGATTATACATAGAAAACACCAATACAGAATAATAGAAATAATCGAACCCGTGACCATGATTGGAAGAAAGACAGTGTGTTAAACAACAGTGTGCTAAACACTTAACAATCACGAGTTTTCGACATACATATATACATATATTTATATTTACACAAACATTTTAGATATTTAAAGTCTATATCGCTGTCCTCATAAAACAATAAACATATCATTTATGCCATATCAATTTCGTTTATATAAATGAAATTGAATGTGAAGTAAAAGAATATTCTTTTAGCTGTTCATTCGTTAAAATATAACAAACAGACAGACATCCTTTCGCATTTCTATATTAGTTTAGTAAGGAAGTATGGATTCAAACCTGGAACGTTATTCCTGAGCCAATGATTCCTCTGCAGATCGACGTACTTGATAAGAAGCGGGTAGAACGAGTATATATCCCTTACGAGGAGTTGCCAGTCCTCCTGAATTTGCGACTCTACTTGCGAAGTATCGTCTGTTGAAGACTGAGGAACAATAACACAAGGTTAATTAAAGAAAAAAACTGATTCATATAGGCAATATTACCCTATAACATGTTTATATATTACTCACTTTGATGAATCCTCTCAAACTCTCCTCTTTATGGAACATGTTGTCAGTCCTCTTTCTGACTCTCTCCGCTAGCGGCAGGAACGAGTCCCTCAGCAGTTCCTCAGAGCTGTTTATGATGATTTGTTGGGTGTAGGTGGCGATGCGCGTCATCCACGGCGCACTCTCATTGCCTATGTTCTTCTTGATTAACTTCAGCACATTCTTCAACAGTTGGTTCATGTGCTCCGCTGTCACCATCGTGACGTGGTTCCTGATGATGAAGATTATTACGTTTAGTTAACAGATTGCATGTTGATGATTGTTCTTTTATATTTTACGAATTTATATATATTTTAGCCATCATTGCCTTACTACATTTATATCGAAATCGTAAGAAAAATAGCGCTTATAATTTCAGAGCGTAATACAGTGGCGCCCCCTAAAACACAATACCTATAGCCTATTTGTACCATGACTTGTATAAACTAGATATATAGACTTAACGATCTACCTTTACATGTATCTATTTTTTTTTTCAATAAATGAAACAGTCAACGAGCTGTCGGCATATTTGACAGTAAGTGGTGTTTGTCGCCTATATATATGAATAGCACTACGAATATTACGTTATCATTTTAGTAGATTTACAAGTCAAGCCTCCAATCTCTGCCTATCTCTCATCATTTAACATTTTGTTATAACATGTAAGTGCTGTCTCAACATGTTATTGGTGTTTTCATCAGACGAGAGTTAATGAGACACATTAACGTTTAAATAGAATAATCATATATCGTATCAAGTATATTCTATGATTAGGATATATTCTAAGCATAGAATATACTTGAATGAATAAAACACAAATGTAAAGACAGTTTTAGAATATAGGTATAGTTACCCAGCAGTAGGTGTCACGTTGTCAGGCCCTTGCGCCCACCAGAATGGAAGGTAGGAGCACAATAATGGCAGCACTACATCTATAATGTGCGGTGCTTCGTTGTACGTCTTATCTGACTCCACGAATTGGTCTACCTCGCTTAGTATCGTTTCTAGCGTTGGCATAGATTGCTCCATTTTCGCCATTATGTCTATGGAAATAAGGAAGATTTTTATCATTCGATTCGTTCGATTATTGGTGAAATGCTGAAGTACATTATATGTATATTTATAATTATATGTTTATGTTCTTTTACCTTGTGCTTCGAGGGAATGGTCTGCAATGCGATTGAGCAGAGAGAACTGGTTGTGTTTATTTAGATGAGGCTCCAGGAATGCGACCGGGAAGGTCGAGCTGAATGCTCCCAAACATGAACCCTGATGATAATAAAAAAAAAATACATAAGATAATGCTTACAATATTACCATCTAGACTCGAACTTTTTGATTTCTACGGGACTAACTTGCAAGCAAATCGCTTCAAATAAAGAATTTGCTTTTCTTTTTTCTCTCTGCGTTACTTTTAAAAAGCACATAATGATGTTATAAAATAAATAAATATGAAAAAAAATTATTAAAGTCTATTTTAATATAGCGCATAGTAGTGTAAATCTTATTGAAAATTAAAGTAAAAAATTACAACTCCATCTGGTTCAATTTTTATACTGATATACGTATAAGATTCTTTGTGGCATTTGTATTATAAAGTACATCACTGTTATAAAAAAAAATGTGTACGAAACAGGATCTGTAGATCTGTATCATATATGAAGATTTTAATGTATATTACTAATTGTTTACATCAATTGCTCATATTTCTTCTATTGACTCATTTTTAAGATTAGAACTGAATTATTAATTTTAATAACTTACCAACGCTGGTTTGTTCCTCTCTATCTCTGTCTTGAGATACTTCCTGTCGTGTGTGAGCGACGCATCAGTGCCGAGAGCGTACAGCGACCCCAGCATCTTATACGACGCCACTTGAATCTCATCCACTGAAATGGACATTGTATTTATCAACTTCAAGACAAGAATTATATTTCTACTACTATTTTTATACACCTAATTGAAAAAAAAACAACAAACAATTACTGTAGATTTAAATAACAGATTATTGTTATCTAAATCAAGATAAAGATTGCATATTTCCTTTTCGTAAAAAAGTGTTCAGTTGTTGCCTTTTATTTTCTCATTTCATTTACATTTTTTCTCCTTTTATCTACTACCAACCATCATATTTATATAGCATAGATTTCCCATAAACTGCTACTTTTTTTTGTCACCCCATTCATGGAATAGTCTATTCGATATTAAATATATTACGAAAATTTTCATTCCAGTAAAAAAACTGATTTCCATAATACTTTTCCTTTCATAGTATATTTTATTTCAAAAGGCGATTTATTTATATCGCTGTATCCATTGGATAGGAATATAGTAAGCAATAAAATATCAATAACAATTATAATAACATATAATAACATAAAAGTACAAAAGGCATGCAATAAACATCGATATATTTGATCTGGAAATTCAATAACTGTGAACATTGTGTGAATTCAAATTTCAGATGTGGCTTTATATTTTTTATAGTCAAGTATTTTTTCACGTAACACGTAGTATTTTGGTAATAATAAGTTTTACACATAAATTAACAATTATAGAATAAATTAATGTAGTTCAAAGTTTTAATAATGATAGTAAGAAGTCGACGTATTTTCTTTGTTATAGAAATAGTCATTTTCGAAACAGATTTGATATATTAATGCGCAATTCTAATGCATACAATTATAAATATGACAAGAATAAAATTTCTAATTGTGTGTTGAAATATAATGAGTGAAAGATAAACAATTGATGCACCAAAGATGAAATTAAGTGTTTTAGATGGAGAACATACTAGTAGACAACTATGTAGCCAATTTGTGTGTTCTTCTTAGAAAAAATAATTGTTAGATGAAATCGCGAGCGAGTTATATGGGTAGTTCAAAGATTTTTATACACTTATGAGCCGATAGTTATTATTGTTATAGTACGCTTTAGAACCATAGTATCTCAAGCTAACAAATTAATTAATGTAATATATGTTTTGCATCCAAAGGCCAATAATAATGGAGATCAACATATTCAACAGCAGTCGAATGAAATGGTATTTACTGACGTAGTCAAAAATATATCAAGAGTTAACAGTGTTTTACAGGAGTTAATAAGAAATTATGAGCAATTAAAAAAAATATACAAAACCCAGAGCCTTGAGGTTGATTATTCGTCAGATTCTGAAATCGATGAAGTATATAAAACCGTATCTAAGAGAGGCAAAGTACAAACTAAAACTACAAAAAAACAAAATGAAGTATTTTTTGCAACACGAATGATATTGTCTGAAGAGAAAAAATCTGATAAATCAGAACAATCAGACAAATTAGTCGAAGACAAAAATGTTAAGATTGACACAAAGAGAATCCCAAAAACTGAAAAATTACGATTGAAAAAGCCTGATATAAAACCAAACATTCAAGTATCCTCTACATCTGATACTGATGAAACAATATCAGAAGAGATAGAAATTCAAAACAATGCTGAGAAAATCACAAAGGAACCTATTCGATCAGAACTAATATATATTGATACACAGAGTGTCCCTGTTGTAGATACAACAGCTAATGAACACAAGTCGACTGAACCGAAAGAAATGGAGGATTATAAATTAATAAAGAAAGTTAAAACAAGATACAAAAATGTAGTAAAATCTGATTTAGATGAAGATACAGATAGAGACAGTAAACATCATCAAGCTGGAAATAACAATTACAAATTCAATTCCATGAAACTTGGCACAGATATAGAACCCAGGAACAGAAGTAAACATATAAAAAAAGTAGTACACACTGAGACATTTGCTCGAGAACATATGTGGGATGACATAAAGAAAAACAAACCAATACAGTTAAAAGCACACAAAGAGGATACATTAGGACATAAACAACAGAAAAATAAAGCAGCATACTTTAGAAGTAATCATAAAACTGCATTAATGATAGTTACCCCGAATAAGGTAATTAATAAGCAGTAACAATTATTACAATTTACAGCAAGAGCGAATTACACTTTGTTCACTTAATTTATTATTTTGTGTGTCAACAAATACAAAAGTTGGAGCAGTATTTACAATAATTTACCGTTTCATTTTTCATTATAGAATAAAGATAAGACAGAAGAGGCGACCTCGCAGTCTTTGGAGCAAGAAGATGCCAATATATTAAAAGAAATATTTAAAACAGAGATACTTCGAGAGGCGTACGGAGATTCTTGCTTAAAACTCGTTCTGAGAAAATGCTTCAAGGTATAGTTTTTTTTTATTAACAGGTGTATTCCAAAATATTAAGACGAATTACTTACGCTATACTTTAATACTATTTATGAGCTCCTAATATTTCGATGTTGTTACAAACACTAACCCATGACACAGATAACGGCGTCGAAATATCAGGAGTTCATAAGTATGCATTAATAAAATTATAAAAATTATTGAAGGCATGCAAAGAAGTAAATAAGATAGTATGCAGACTTCGTAAGTGTAAAGGTAGATCAAAAGAAAAATTTAAAGAATTTGCCAAAAAAGGATGCATAAGAGAGTTCGGATACAATGTCACTGCGAAGATGGAGAGAAAGGGTAGTAAGTACAGAATACTATTTGTAAGTGTTTATTTATTTTATAATTCATAACAATCAAGTATTGAATGTACTGATACTAGAAGCAATTACGTAAAATAATCGGTACTTGCACGTGATGACAGTAGAAAACTAAATTTGGAAGCCATTTTATTATAAGAAAAGTAGTATACTCTAATACTAATATTATTTAGTTTAATAACATATACGTAATTAATAACATTTAATAACATATATATAATTAATTATTGTTTTATTTTTTGAAGATTTTACGGATATAACAAGACAGGGATTTTGGGCTGAGGCATGTTTGCCAATGGTACAAGCGGATATGAAGGTAAATCATAGAACATTGAAACATACAACATTCAGTACTGTGTTACTAAATAGAGAATTGGTTAAAAGGAGTTAGATAGTATGTTATAAGCTAGTAGTATATTTTAATTTCTTTCTGTGAAGCAATATTTTTGATGTTTCGTTACAGTCCAAATTTTTAAGAAATCAGACATCGGGCATGATCGTAGAAACCAAGGAGGACATTAAAGTAAATATACTTAGAGATAGCTATGAACGGGCTTGTCAAAGAGCGTCAGCAAGGAAATGCAATAATGCTTGCAAGTTTTCATATGAAAACACTTGTCAAATTTATGAATGCGATAGAGGTATATCATTACTATTTATTTAGCTGTACAGTAATTAGCATTGTCCTGCAATTTCGCTTCTCATTTAACATAAAGGAAAAGTCAGGAACCTTCGTCCTTCTATCTTACATTGCATCCCGTGTAAATTTAATAGCATTATGTGTGATTTTGGTTAATAAATATTAGGTAGTCGAATATTAGATGATATAACATTATTTATTACATTACAGAGAAAAAAAAGAAATATAATAAGTACTGCAAACAACAATGTAAGGTTGCTTACAAGTCAAGCAAAGGCAAGGTTTCCAGATCTACCAGTAATTCTGAAACATATAGCAGTTCTAAAAGTCATAGTGACTTGAGTGATGATAGTACTTTTCTATTTTCAGACGATTAATGATTATGCCAAAATTACAGAAAAAAATCAAATAGAATCCATAAGAATACATTTTAAGCCCCTTGAAATATATGGACATGTAATGAAAACATACGGAATATAATGCGAACGCATTTTGTGTAAAACATGCGTACGTATTATATTCCGTAAAGAAGAGTAAAAATTCTTAACGCATAGATGGAACTGCGTGAAAGACTATATGGTATAGAGTTGGTTGAATGTCAATATTAAATGAGGTACAACTGACACTTTATCCACAATGTATCTTAATCTCGTGTTAAATACATGCATATTGCGGTATATGTATTCAATGCAATATAAAAACGCAAGATAAGAAGAATCTGGATGAAATATTATTTGAAGAAACGGAATAACTCAATATTAAATGAGGTACAACTGACACTTTATAAAAAATTCGTGCATGCATATTGCATGTGCTATGGTTTCTCAGTCATGTGTCAGAAGAAGGCGCAATATGAACATGAAACCGTACTGGTGTAGACATAGTTATGATACGCCAAACACCTAATAAAGTCAAGGTTACGAGGAAGGTGCTAAATCAAACATAATACTAAATTGTAAATACTCCTTTAATAGAAAAGACAATAGTAGATTGCGTGCTAGATCCAGTTTACGATATTGGGATTTAGGGTTCAAAAAGTGTTACCACATCAAAGATATAGATGTTCATTATGCATAAATGAGTATTATTAAAATGAACTACAGGAGTAATTTTTAAATTTAAGTGAACATAGATTTCATATAGTCTATTATAACAAGTCCATATAAATAAACTCACGTAATAAATCAGCTCCGTACTCGCAGTTCGCCAAGTGATCGAACATAGCTGTTAATATAGGCAGTAGTACTCCATTGATGTAGCCAAGAGACGTAGATGTTTTCAAGTGGGTGCCTCGTAGATGTGCATATTTCCCCTGGTAAAAATAATACAATTTAAACTTAAAAATTATAAATCTAGAATATCATTTACATTAGATTTGTAAAAGTCTTTAAAATTTTGATAGATCTTTCGTATTTCATTACCAAATAAGATATTAAATGGTATGTTGGACCTATTTTCTGCATTTACTTCTTATGTGGGCCCTTATGCGTGTGCTATTAAACGGTAGTGCTTAACCAAAATATCTTTTGCGTTTCAATTATAAGAGAGCTGTCAGTTAGGCTCTATTGATTATGAAATTTGACCAGATAATTTTAACAGGTATTATAGTATTCTAAATTAATAACTTCAAATTACCCTTAGTCTCCTACTAGGTTGCCCGAGATGACTACAATTCTAAATCTGTTGCTTCATTTATATTCAAAGGTAGGTGTTACTAGATAATTAAATAAATGAAACAAAAAGTAGGTCACGAAAAAAAGTCTTACCTCTTGCAAGTTGAGTATAGTATGTCCTAGATCATCAGCTACATTGTTAAAGAAGGTCAACATTGACGTCCTGATGAATTCGGGGCAGTTCTTGACTAAGGATTTGGCATCAATGCCCTTCACCAGAACTTGGAGACAGCGAACTGTGATTCGCACATCAGGACCGAAGGCCGCCAGTCTACAAATTTAATACATATTTCAAATTTTCTAATTAATTTAATGAAATCATCATCAAGTTTAGTCTACCATTATATTGGAACCAAGAAGAACTAATAAGATAATTACTGATAATAATTCGGCTGTTGCTCTTTTCAAATAATTGCAAAAATACAGATTTGTATAATATAACGAGTTTGCAGCACACCAGTTGATAAGTGGTTACTTGTAGGCCGTAAAATTTTGTAAAACCTCAGTCTAACTTATTTCAACCGCCAAGCTATAACTTACTTTATAACATATGTTTCGGTTAAAGAGTACGATAAGAAATTGAAATTGCAGGATATGGAGGCATAATATCTTAGTCCTCCGGAAGTCCGTAGTGTTTAGGGATCATGTAAAGGGATCGTCAGTATGTTTACCATTCCGATTACACAAAAAAGGACTTATATGAGGAAATTAGTACAATAATATGCTAATAAAAATATCGTTATTTATTTTTTTCTTACGTACCGCGACCGTAGCAAACTAGCTAACTTGCAGAACAGAGCTGCAACCATTTCCTTCTCCTTTAAACTGGCCGCACCGACATTGTTAGTTGCTGTTGCAACTGCTATGAAGTAATTGCGATGAGTTGAGAAGTATTTTTCCATTAGAGGCAGCACCACCTAAAGGAAAATCAACATTATTATCAAGGAATTTGGTATATTTTTCGTCGATGGCTGAAGTTCATGCATGCAGTATATATACATGAAAGCATTGTTGTATAATTATGGGCTTGGCTATAGCATTATCACATATGTATCTATACCTGTAAATTCATTTCTAAAAGACTATAAACGCATTATGAATTTCTAAAAATCAACTTTATGACATCGCGCGTGCAAAGCCGCGGGCAATTTCTAGTTACATATATGAATATAGCAATACAATAAACGTTAAAATGGCTGATAGTCTCGACAAGACCCATATACTATTTGCTCGACCACAAGCGTGTACATAAGGCGATATAATAATAGCATTCTAATTACAACCCTAAATACCAACACAGAGTTGTAACAATAATAGTAATAACATATCTTCACGACCTTTTTTCCCACACGGGGTAGTCAGATATAAAGTCAACTGTCGTCGTCATGGGACATTTTGCTTAGTAGGTATATTTGAATCAGACGTAACAGTGGACGAGTCAACCGACATCGCTCAGATTAATTTAGTTCGCTAAGGGTGTATCACCGGACAGTCAGTCCGAAATATAAATTGATACACGAGTTTTTTTTTGTAGTTGGCAAGATTAAGTAAAAAAGACCAAGTAGTAATAGCTTTATTATAAAACCTTAATAATCTTCGTATATAGTAATCCTAATATAATGTATGGTGATTATAAAGTTTAGACTTATCCTGCGATTATTAATATGTACTAAGTTGTTTCTCGTTTTTATTTAGTCACGTGTCTGCCATCGCTTTTGGGATTACAGTCAAAAGCCGTATTACTCTTTTTATTAATCGAAAGCATTGAAAAATTAATGTTTAGTGAAAAAGTAATGTTGACTTAGAATAGTTTTGGTATAATTATACTTTTTAATTCGTAATGATGAGTCAAAAAATGTTGAAAGTGCTTAAGATATAGTAAATAATATAAGTATAGGATTCGTATGTTATTTGTTCATGTTATTAAGTATATATATGACATTGATTATGATTTTTATGCGTTCAAGCGATGCAGTAGGTACCTTCTTGAAATATTTTACTTCCGACTTGTATTGCTTGCAACATTAGAAGAAAATACATAAATATTGAAATTAACACAAAAACCTTGAACGTAGTACCTATGTAGTTGGGACTTTTTTAAATTGTTAGTGTTTTGCGACACTGTTTTATTATTTATAATATAATATTGAAGGAATATAAATACTGTAGTGAACATTTGTTTTAATTGAATAAGTAAATGATTATAAGGTAATGTAGTTTCATTAAATACATATATAATGATATGTATAATTAAATTATTATGACAAAATAATGCAACATTATGATAATATCTAATAAATTCAAGCATTCTTTTGTCTGTTTTATTAATTTTATTAGATAGTAATGTGCCAAAATATACAAAGCTAATGCTATAATAGATTTGATATATTTTTTTCTGAATGTGAAATCAGTATAGAATGTCACAGATATAGAATTTTAGGATTTACTATAAACAATATAAAAAATATTCTGTATATTATACTAAAAATTATTATACACATACATTTAATATGTAAAATATATGTATGATATACGATATGATACGATCATATATAAATTTAAAAATTGTTTTGCGTCTGTAACAAACTATTCTGCAACTCACCTTAGAGAAGAACTTGATGTCTCGTGTGCTGGTTTTGAAACTGATGCGTCTACTGAAAGTCGTTGAAGGTTTCAAAAGCTTCATGTTTATAGTCGCCCTGTCTATATACTGTATCAGTTTCTCCAGTAACGAGTATGCGAATCTGAGCTCTATTGCCACACCCGTAGTGGTCTGTTCTGTGTCACTCTGGGTGGCTTTGCTAGGTCTGTGCAGCTTGTAACCTTGGTATTGGAGATATTTGAGGAACTCTTGGGATCTTTCGCGGTCCTTCTTCTTTTCTTTGTCGGTGAGAAGGTCGTACGGAACCAACTGTGGGTGGATGCCACCTACAAAGTATAATAATATCTTAATTATTACCGAAATATAAGTATGTATTGGTTGAAAGGCGAGATATAGCAGTGAAGTTAAAGGGTATAAGAGATGCTTCGGAACGACAGTTCAGTTTCAGTTGTAATTAATATTTTTATTCTACTGTGCGAAAGAGTATCAAACAATCTATCCATACTCACAAACTTTCGGGATTCTAATATTACAAGCTGTGTTCGCGGTTTCACTCGCATAAAATTTATAGTCTATGTATTTTCTAGTATATAGGCATTATTACTGAAAGTTTCATCAAAATCCGTTGAGTAGTTTCTGCGTGAAAGAGTAACAAACATGCATCCATCTATTTATCCATCCATACTCATGAACTTTTACGTTTAGAATATTAATAAGATTCTCACCTCCATTAGTAACAAGTTCTTCCTTCTTCTTCTTCGCCCAAATGTCATGAGCGTTCTCAGCCAGCCTCTCCGCCATGTTTTGCATTTCTCTTGATAGTGTCAAGTTGGTCATATCCACAGGGTGTGGATTGTAGTTGAACGGTGTGGCTGAGTCTGTCTGTGGGATTATTAGAGTTCCATGAAATAAATATAAAATAGAAAATTTTATGTTTAAAGTAACCGAACCCGTAGATTAACACTAGTGTAAATGTTTTGTTACAACATTTTAAGTGAAGCTTAATTTAATATATGTAACATATCAGTTAAAACTACATCCAAAATTACGGAAGCGCCCAAGCGTAACATATAATTAGTATCACAACAATCGCAGTATTGTGTTCTATCAAGTTGATAAGGAACTCAAATAACAAGGTTTTCTCATAAGTCTTCCGTATACAGGCAGCGATCTGTTAAATTTTTATTATATGTACTTATAGTTAAGATGTTTGAAAAATAGCTTCACATTTACTGTATAATACCAATAAATTTCATTCAAGTCCATTTATTTTTCTTTGAAAAGATTGCGCTCAGCTATAAGACCGCCTTATAGTAATTATACAAGTGTACCTTAATGTATTAAGTGTCTTTTCTTTACTGCATAACTACATAGAATCTACTTTATGTACTATAGTATCTAAATTTAATTTAATTAAGTAATGTATAATTATCCCCATGTAGAACAATACTATTGTTCAAAATTACTCGTTATGTGTTAAAAAATTGCTGCTTTTGTCTTACGAGCGTTAAGTATGTAAACGCTAGAAAGATAGGCATCAAGACGTGCAATAAGCAAATATAAGTATAGAAATATATACGAAAGTTAGTGACAAAAAAAATAGTAATAATGACAACACATAAAAATAGGGTACACAGCCCTTTTATCTACTGTGACGTCATGAGATAGCACACTTAGAGTAGTGTGCTATCTCATGACGTCACAGTGTACGTAATAATTATTAATCATTAGCTCATTATTAAAAGATTTAGATCTTTCATCATGTGAAAAATTTCCCCATCAAGAAAAACATTATTCTCAAAAATATTCACACTATATATATATATTTAGCATATCAAAAGACTGTAATAAGTGGTTATAGACATATATATTTATTTATTCATAATTTCATAATATTCGAAGATTTAACTTTGCTTAAGGAAATATATATAGGACTTTATAATTATACTCATGTATAGAAATGTTCGCATGGTGCGAGCAATCGAATCCGAGACCATCGTAAGTAAGGGGGCGTGCTAAACCGCTAAACAACCGAGCCATTATAAGTGTAATATTTATATTACACTTATTGAAGCATTCAATAATAAGCATAAGTAATACATTTTTATCCTTTACAATTGGGGTTAGGTCACATTAATAATGAGGCCATGATTAAAATAGCAATTAACCATTGTCACATTTTAACTTTAGGACTTGCTAATTACTCTGCGTAAATCGCATATACAAATGTTAATTTGAAATTTTGAAGGTTGTTACCAATATCGAAGTTCCATATTCGTTAATTTAATTCTCTATTTTGACCTATAAGTTATAATGTAACAAATATAGCCACTATTTTAATTGGGATTGCATGCCTTAGAGCTATATATTTTTTATTGATATGTTTTACGGCTCTGGATACAAGTCCTTTTTAGCCCAACTTAATAAGTAACTCGAAGTTCTACAAGGAATTAAAATGTTGCCATTATTAACAAACTTACCACAACATCGGGTGGTCGCTGGACGGGTGCAGGGATATGAAAACAACATTAAAATTTAACACATCCAATACGTGGGTAGGTAGGAAGTGCGGATACCATGCGCATACGAAAATACGAGTAGGTGCAGTGTAAAAAAATTAGGGAAACGATACCGGTTTTTCGGTTTCTTCGTCCTGTTTGCGTGGAATTTACACATTTCATGTGAATGGAATGGTTATTAATTCGTACTAATTTTTATTATGACTTCCACATATGACACAAATCAATTGTATATGAGTAATGTTAATATATTCTTTGATGGCAGGCATATAAAACTTATATTTAAATTTAAATTTTAGTTTCGTTTGTATCTTGATTATCCTATCTGATATAGATATAATATCTTAAATGCGCATGTATCCTAAATAAACATCAATATTTGTTCTAATTTTATGCACTGCTATATTGTACTGTGCGAGGAATCGCCACCTTTGGAAATTAAATATGCGACCATCGAGGCCATCAAATCTCTTCTTTAAAATGTCAACATTTACTAATTTCTGAATTTATTAGTGTGACATAAATATCTCAGATATAGCCAATTGAAAAAAAATTGAAAACCTAATACAGACAAAGGGGGGATGGGGGTTGTTAGTAATGTGGACTAATGACCCCATTGCTAGCAATGTACCATGTCAAGTTGACGTCCACAGATTGACCTCCACGCTGTTCTTCCTGGAAACCATCGTGATAAAGTCTTAGTGAATTTATCACGATGGCCCAAGTGACCTAAACTTATGCTCATCTTATCATCCTCCACTGATGTCCCGCTACCGTAAACCGTTAGTGCAAACGAGTGTACTATTCCATTATCATCCATTAAAAAGAATATAAACGAAATAATTCCTACCGGATATGGAAATAAAGAAAAAGAAATAAATACTTACGCCACCAGACTTGGACTGTCTTCGCATTGAGCTACGGTTGGTACTCGGGATGTCTACTTCGGAATGTTCCACCGACCAGCCAATAGCCAGCAACGCTTTCAGGGATTCACGTACTGGTTCCTTGTAGCGCTCCTTCTCCTGTTAATTTAATAGAAACCAATGGAGATCCAACAAATTGAATACTAAGGTTTTCTAACGACATACTTTCGAAACGATGAATGTGTATTTTCATAATCATGTACAGGCTCATTTGAAAAGGATACGAGCTGAATTTCTCGTCAGTTCTTCTTAGTTCGAAAGCACTCCGAACTGATGGTAGATTTGATATATCATAATAGTCTGTGATTACAGACAACAACAACAAACAATATGTTTAATTTTATACGGTTATCGAAAGAACTAAACGTGAGTAGGTACAGTATTTAAAAAATAGTTTATATTCTTTCTCTCATTTATTTCAGTAGATAAGCAGCTTGTAAACCATTTTGGCTGAAGGGTGAGATAAGGCAGTGAAATTACAGAATAAAAGGCATAATATCTTAGTCTTCTGGATCGGGCGCGCATAAGAGGTATCACATGATAACGTGATGTCCGTAGTGCATATATATTTGACGGTTAGTACTTACCTTGTTTGCCATTTCAATTAAACACAAAAAATACTTACATAATCATTGAGCATATTATATGGTTTCAGACGAGGATGTGACTTCTGATGATCCGACCATGATTCGCCATAAACCCAACCATTCTCAATTTTTCTGAAATGAAAACATTTCACAAATTAGAAATATACAATAGATAATGAGAAAAGAGGTATAAATGAGACGGCTAGCTTACTATGAGTCTAGAAAAATAATTTCTAAATTTTTTCTAAGTTTGGTATTTACTTGTAATTCATTGCAATAAGCATTGCTTATTACTAAAATGTTATTTCAAGTTATTTGAAGTTATTAATCGTGGACTGTAACATTATATTCTGTACTTACCTGGACGCCCACGCGTCATGATAGTGTTCAGAGAACTTCTGTACGATGGTGTTGAGATCATTGTTCAGTGCCACTGATGATGTGTTGATCGGCTGTGGATCGTATTGTGGATTGTCTGGACCACCTGTTCATAATAATAATAATAACTCAGTATTGAAGTTCGTAATCTCAATATATACAAAAAGAAAATTGTAATTTAATTGTTATATAGTCTCGGTTGTTTACGAGAGAGAGAGAATAAAATTTTACAACTTTACACCGTCTAGCTTATTTCTCTAATACTTAGAACAATTCACACAGCGTCATCTAATCCCTAACTAAGCAGAGCCTGTTTTATTGGTACTAGACAACTATGAATACATAGATACATTTTTTTTTGTAAATACATACATAATATACATAGAAAAACACGTAGACCAACAGTTATACTCATAAATAAAAAGGTTTGTACAGTGCAAGGATTCTAAGTACGACGGTGTGTTAAACAGCTTGGAGTTATCAACAAAGACGTATCAATATAAAAAAAGATATAAAAAGAAAATTACACAGTCACACTGACAATACTTACCAGTTGATTGTGTTTCTTTGCCGTAGAACTCGTCATCATAGTTCTTGGAGAGTGAGTAATCGGGCGGTAAAGCACAACCTGAAAAATAGAATTGATATATAATAAAAATATCAATATGTTCTTTTGCAAACTATTAATACATAATTACATTAATAAATTTTCAATCATGAAGTCTTAAATATTACGCATTATTAGGCATTTGAAATTATGAAATCGATTATTAATTATTATTGATTAGCATTGTAATCGATTAAAGTGACTTAATTAAATAAGAGATTTGTCTAAAATAATCGACTTTTGCCTAGATTGGACTGTCAGTGTTCTTGTTTTTTAACTTGGTCTAACTTTTTGAGAATACTTGATCGGATGAAGAAATTTTATTGTCAGTGAAAAATAATCGAATATAAATTAATTAATGTTTGGAATATCAAAATCGATTGTTAAAGTTGCTTTTTGATGAATACTCCATAATCGAATGTTTTACTTGACTATTCTACGTACCGATTGCAATGAGACACGGCAACGCCTTCCCAAACAGTTCGGGCTCGTAGTCCATCTTGCTGAGGGAATCGAAGATGTTGGAGAATAGCATCATGGTGAGACGCTTTTCCTCATCTGATGATGCACCGTACAACCCCTGACCCCCAGTGCTACCGTAGTACTTTGCACAGCGTTCGTAATGCAACGTCAGTAACTGTGAACAAATTATTCATTTTTAAAATATATAGTACTTTACAGAATAGAGACTTTCAAATAATAGAGTTTTTCTAATAAATGAAATAATGGACTCTTACAATGGACATTACGCCATCTATTCCTAGTTCTCTCTGTTTCTTTGCCCAAATATGATATGCGTTCTCAGGCAGTCTTTCTGCCATGTTTCAATACTTACCATCAGATGAGCAGCCAGCTTAAGTCATGTTGGTGGTGCCCAACATGGGACACTAATATCTTGCAAATTAATTGTAATATTGGTGCCAATATTACAATTTATTGGTGACCAAATGTCAATATTTTTGACATTACTGTCGCCTACTCGAAGTATAGTTACTCTGAAACCCGAGTGAAACCCTTGGGAGTGAACCAACACTTACCCTCAAAGCAACCGTGGTATATTCTGATAGTCTGGACACATCCACTGTAAGCTTCCTGAGAAGTTTCAGCAACATGGACGGTTGCATAGCCGATGTTAGTGCTACAAGGAAATCTGAGACGGCTTCACGTTGTCCTTTGGTTAACATTCGATTCTTAGATAACCTGAAAAGTAGATTAAATTAAAAATTGTTAAATTACCAGGGGTAAGACGTATGTGGTAAGGGTATATTTTTTAATTATTATATTAAATATCCGTCCGTACGTCTGCGTGATTTATCTTCTTTGTTGGCCTATTTATAGAAATATTGGAAATAGAGATATGGTGCTATTAATAATAAAGTAAATAAATAAAGTAGCAATAAATACGTACCTATAAACGGTGTGTAGAGTTGCGTCCAACAAACTAGCGTAATTCTCTGCTTCGTTGTAGAAGTTGGCGTGCTTGATCAGAAGAGGTAGAATCGAGTTACCGATATAACGATTCATGGAGAGAGCCATGTCCGACTCGCAGCCGTCGTTCTGTTGAGGTTATTGTTAACTTTAGCCATTTTGTTTCCAATTATACCTTTTACTGTCTCTATTCGTTTATGTTATTAATAATAGTAATAATATCTCAGGACAAACTAAGTCGAGCTCGTATTATGGATACTAGACAACAGATATAAATATATAGATACATTTTTTTAAAATATGTAATAATAAAACACCCAGACCGATACAAATAGTCATACTTATGAAATATAAAAACTGGTACCTACTCATACGGTACCAACATTTTATATTTATTACATCGAACCCGCAACCATAAGTAAAGGTCTGCTGCTGTAAAACGCTAGAAGGCCGAGTCCGTCAGTCATTTTAGCGCCCAACGTGAGAAATGTCTCACGTTGGGCGCCAACAATAATTATTAAATTAAGAGATTAATTAATCTCTTATAAGGAAGGAAACTTATTTTTAATACTACTCCTACCTACATTTAATCTACTCACTTATATCAAGTTGGTGACTGGCCTGGGATAGGAATCTCTTTCAAGGTCAATTATGTCATAATTGCGCCTAAGTCATTTCTAATACAACATTTATTTACTTTTTATTTTCTACTCTGAGATTATACGGTAAGATGAAAGATATCTCGGTATTATACGGTAAGATGAAAGATTATACGGTAAGATGAAAGATGAAAGATGATAGATGATAGTCTCTCGAATGACAACCAATGAGTTTTATCATCGGTGTGATATGATAACGTGATGTCTGTAGTATTATATATATAGGCAACGGTTATCGCTTACCATCAGGTGAGTAGCCAAATTATTTGCCATTCCAATTACATAGAAAAAACTACTCGCTTACGTCATGTTGGCGGCGCCCACCGTGGGACAGTATCTTGCAAAATCAATTGTTATATTGCTCACCAATAATCACCAATCATGGTGATCAATGGTCAGCTTATTTCTAACACTATTATCGCCGACTTTTAAGCATACTCACCCATGACATGTTGGCGCCTAACGTGGGTAAAATTTTAAATACTGACTAATTACGGAATAAGAGGCATGATATCTTAGTCCGCTAGAATGGCAATGAATGAGTCGTAAGGGAAATCTACGGTTGTTATTAGCATGTGTTGCCCGTAGAGCTAATGGTAAGTAGTAACTGTCACTTATATACATAATATAGGTGACGGTAACTACTTGATGTTAGGTGAGCCTATGAGCTTGTACGCCATTTCAATTATATAAATAAATAGAAATAATGTTTAAAGCTACATCCAGTAGCAAAAGTTATATTTGCTTTTTTTTTTGGAAGGAGCTTTTATAAATACTATAGAAATGGAAATACTCAAAATACATACCCTATCCAACATAGTAGCGGCGCGCAAATCTGGCAAGAAAGCTTCTTCCAGCAGCCTGTAGAAAAGTTCCTGAGTTTCGATGCCATATACACGCTCCAAAAACAAGCCCACACTTTGCTTGTGGCCAGGGATGAGTCCGGAAGGCATATCTGTAGAGGCATATGGATTATATTATATAGAGTTTTGTGTTATTTCGTGGAAGTCCATTTCATCTTTTAATGGAGACAAGACAGTGTTAGAGATTTTTTTAAGTTTCTGTGAAGAGCATGTACAGGCAAATATAAATAATATGTACCCACCAATTAAAATAGGTATCAAATATTATGGCAGTCTTATAGGATGGCTGGTAGGCTGTACATTCATACAAACTCATAAACGTCTTAAGTCGATTTAACTCTATTTATGTGTTAAGCAGTTTACAATGTTACCTGATTTAGGTCTTTCTTCCCCTGCAGCTGGGTTGTTGAGAGTAAATCTCAAGCTGAGGACACCTTGCAGGTCTTCCAGAGGCACCAGTGAACGCAGAATGGCTCGAGCTCGAAGCGATTCATTTTTGCCCTGATATTTAAATGGAAATAGTTAATAATTACGTTGGAGATAGGTTGAGAATTTTTAAAGGAACTGGAATTGCAGGATATTGCTGTTCATTGCTCGGTGTCCCGGTTGCAGAGTGCAAATTAGTTAATGCAATTATAGGATAAGAGACATGATATCTTAGTCCTTTGGAATGGCAACACATAAGTAGTGCCATAGTAACGTAAATATCCTGTTCATGTAGGTATCATTATTTGCCATTCAAAATAGATAAAAGACAATATAATTGTGCACCTATTTTTATGATTCGTTATGCTATGTACAGGGTTTATTCCCATATTTATTTCGTCATGGTCAAAGTCGAGTTTTTAGTGGAAAGATTAATTTATGATAGAAAGAGTAATTTAAGATAAATTATTTGTATTGAGTATTTTCTAAGTATATTATATGTATGAATTTGAGTATTCATATCAGTTGTCTAGTATACATAATACGAGTTCTGTTTAGCTTGGGATTAGATGGCGCTATTAATTGTCTTAAGTCATTGTTATTATTATTCATTCAAAATAAACATACAACATATATAATTTACAACAACACCAATAGTCCTTGGTCATCTACATATGAAATTGTCTAAATATTCTGTGACATAGACTGCTTGTACCTATCTGTTTCTAAATCTATAAATTTCTACCTATCTATTTATAAATTCTTATTTATCTATCTATATACTCACCAGAGCTATAACACTAGCATCAGGGGCACACCTTCCAAGCAGATCCACCAGAGTACAGTAGAAGTTGAGTATGGCTGCACCAGTGTCAATGTAGTCCTCATCATCATCAGATTCTGGTAACGGGTGGCTGAACTGTAAGAATAAATTTTAGACGTCCTGTATAATTGTGTAAAATATTTAAAGGCTAAAATGATGTTATTAAAAATATGAAGACATGGTATTCATATAATAAAAAAGGTAATAAAAATGTGTGAAAGATGATATGGTAAGAAAGGAAGTAAATAACGCGATGACTGCGAACAGGGATGAATGGAAGCGAAAAACATATTACGACGACCCCAAATAAATGGGATAAGGAAGAAGCAGATGACGATGATGATGATGGTATTCATATAATGTACTACCTACTTTTGAACTATTCGAACTTTATATATAACTAGAGCTTGCGTGTATGGGCGGTCCTCTAGAGAGAGTTTCGTTTCAAATCGTCTTGGTCGGAAAAGTCTTATCTGTTTTGATACGATATCATTCAGGTGAATTCATATTGTAAGAGTTAATAAACGAAATCTAATCTAATCCACATTTCTTGATGAAATTTTGTCAAAAGGAAATGTATAATCAGTGCTCGTAAACAGAACAGACCAGTTCTTATTATCTAGTACCGCTGAGTTTGGGACTAGACTATTCTAATTCTCTTAAAACAGTTTCATTCTTGCATGAATGAATGAAACTACACACTCACGTTGACATCTCCCTCCTGCTCCATCTCCCTCAGCTTGCGTCTGTCGGCGATCCTCTCGCTCATCTTGTTGGCGTCCACGATGGCCTTCAGTAGGCCTTCGCCCTCGCCCCTCAGCGCAGGTCCGAGGCACTCCGGCCGACGGATTAGCAGACGGATTACTAAATTGGCGTTTTCTTCTACGCTTTCTCCATTGACCTATGTATTTATAGAAGGAATTAATATATATTTGTATGAATATAAAAGAGAATTTTGTTATCGCTGTAAATATATATTACTAGCTGTGTCCGCGGTTCTAGTCGCATGAAATTTATAGCCTATACATTATGTTGATATATAAGCTATGTTACTGTAAAGTTTCATCAAAATCCGTTCAGTAGTTCTTGCGTAAAATAGTAACAAACGTCCATCCATACTCACATATTTTCACGTTTTTATGCAACTGAAATTAGTACCTCATAAAAAGTACCTCGCTGTGCTAATAAGATGAAGGAACTGGTATCTAATATACAGGTTTACACCTAGTTTAGAAACGAGAGAAGAATGTGGAATGTGCAAAAAACAACTGAACATAGGAAGTGGTAATCTATATATGTACATATATATTATTTTTTATTTATACGTATAATTAGGAAACAATTTACCCATGATCATGACTGCTGAAACACTGCCGAAATATCGTGAACTCAATGAAAATAAAAGAAAGATGGTAAGATCCCATAATTTTTCCTAATTATACCTATAAATAACGACCACGTAAAATTTAAAATAGTATATATTTTTATTGTTTACTACTTATCATCAAATGCGCTCTTAATGTATTAGCAACACTAATTTAGAAATTTAAGTGTATCTGTGTATTTTTTATTGAATATCATGAAAATACGTACCCATACACAGAAACGCAAGAAGTCAAGATAACGTTCGCCTTCCACTGGATCCCAGCCCAGATCTGGGTAACCTTTCTCCACCAGCTCAGAGTTGCTCTGCAGCCCGCAGCGAGAGAGGTATACTGCTATTTTCTCCAAGTAATGTTCCCTGTTCACCAAAAACAAAATTGTTCACATTTTTAACCAACTTCAAAGATGATTCCATATATTCGGTAGCTTTTTTATTTAGACAATTAAGTAATTTGACAGATATTTTTATTTGGTTATAAAAATCGGCTCAGCAGTTTGGGTTTTAATGAAAATAACATGTATGACATGTGCGTCTAGGTGTTAACGATCAAATAAATGAATAAATGAATATGTAATCTAATATGTAATAATAGTATTGGCCATTTAGAAAGAAAGAAAAGTTTTTTTTTCTTAACACAAAAATAACAACCATAAATATTATATATATTCATTTAGTTTTAAGCTGTTTACCATAAGAATATTTTTAATGAAATAGCTGCCTTTCAACCTTATCACCAGATGTTAAAAAAATAAGTATAGTACGTATGTATAACTTTAAAAGATATGTTATACTTTAAGAAAACAACAGAAATTCCTTGTCAAATATACCTCAAAGCCAAAGCCAGTTCAGTGTTCTCCATGAGACTTGAATAGGCCACGTCCAAAGGAGTAGAGCCACGCAGTGACGGACGGGAGAGAAGAATATTTGAGTTCTCCAGCAGGAAGTCGAAGTGGTCGAACATAGCCTTCTGGTTCTGTCTGCCCGTGCGGCAAAAGTAGCAGAGGAATCGGCAGCAGGCTACCACCATCTCGTGAGATGTGTCCTATGGAAATAAATTGTAATACATGTACTTATATTAAGACTTCTTTTATGTAACTATAACTGTAAATACATATAATAATGTTATTTATGAAAATATGCATTTGTATTTTAGATATGGCGTTATGTGACTTCAATCTAAGTCCTATCTATATGTAATTTACATGAAAATGCGTTACCTTCTCTTTGTCTTCAGGAGTGGGAGGCGAGGCCGGTGCAGCATCAGACTGTGCCTGCGCGCGACGGCCCAGCGTGTTCATCATCACAGCCATTACGTTCTCGTGGATACGCAATACTCTGCATATTAAAAATTCATATTTATTACTTTGAATATAGAGATCACATTAATATTTGCCAATCATTTCTTATGAAATGAAACGAAATAAATTTGCGAAACATTAGTACAATAAATATGATGTTACATAAAATATTTACCATTATATATTATAATAAATAAAAAATGTACTTCCATTATATCTGTATATATTTAAATATTTGAAAATAATTAATTGAAATGTATATGATGGTAAACCGACACCAGAAATTATACGTGCTACTGTTTTGTTTACAACTGTACGGCTCGACAGCTCGATCGCTACTGATCCCCTCCCCAACCGACGGCCATTCCTATAGCAAACAAATGGGTGCATCTACCCATAACTAAACAAATAAATTTAATTTATTCTAAATGTAATAAATTTTTATGATAATAATTTAAGTATTATTTTATTCCTAAAAATTCTAATTTTAAATCCACTCACCTTATTAAATCTGGATGTTGGAAGAATGTATGATTATTAACAAGTTTCCTGAAAAATAAGTGTTAATTAAAATCAACGCAATCATTTATACTAATATTGATAAAAACATGTGAATATTAAAATCACGTAATGACACCTAATATTAAAATCAAAGTTAATTGAATATATATTGTTTTAAAAACAGTAATTATTTATACGTATAATTTGGAAAAATCTTTTTATTTATTTTTATTGAGTTACTATGATAATGATAAATACCAGAGTCTCTTCCTCATCAGCTCCTCCTCTTCCTGGCTCATCTGGACCGGCAGTAGTGCTCTGATCTGACTCAGCCCCACCCACATCTCAGCCACATCTAGCTTCGTCTTGGCGTTGATGACATAAGTCTTCTCCAGGGCTCTGATTAGCTCACCGACAGCGTCATATTGACGGACAAGCAGACTGGAAGAATTTATATTTATTTATTTTATTACTCGCACTGTATAAACATTTGTATATACTGTGTAATATATTTACAATGAAAATATTTTAAATTATATTTACCAGTTTGTGTAATAAAATTAATACCTGAACATTTCTCTAACTAATTTAGGCGTCTCGATTTGTGACTCCTCTGCCCAGTTCACGATTGTCTGAATTAGGACTTTACGGAATTTCTCTTCTGGAGTTTTCTTTGGTGGTTCTTCAATAGCCTGAAAGTTATGTTATTTTTAATACAATTGCATTTCAGCCAAGTAAAAAAGACAATTTGTAAATATAAGATATGTCAATAATACAAATAAGGTAACAAACAGCAAGTAAACATATTAAATAATAATTAAATTAAGCATATAATTTATTTCGTGTTTTAACACAAAATTGTAGTATTCAAAAATAGTGGTTCTAAAAACGATTCTTTTTTTGTATTTTATGTAGTAAAAAGAAATTAAAAAAGGCGGGAAAACAGTTTTGAATTTCGAACGCGAGCAAGCAGTTTGTTGATACTATGTAAAAATAAATGTTTGGAATTTACGGCTAGTGTCTTGTCTTAAAATTTTTAAATCGACTTTAGAATGATATGATTAAAGTCGATTTTGTAATGGAATAAGAGGATATTTATTTGCCATAAAATGTTAAATACGAATTTTGAAATATCAGATTTAAAGTCGATTTACGAATAATAATTTCGAATTCTATACATTAGGAAATCGAAAAGGAATAACCGTTTCAATTTACAATTTTCGATTTTATAGTGGAAGGGTTAAAGTCAATTTTCAAAGGTATGGAATTCGTTAAATTATATAAATAGTTTTTAGATAGATCTCACATATTTTTTTCGGGTCTTGTACGAGAGATTCCGTACTGCTATAACGTAGCAATTATTTGCTACAAAAAATTCAAGAGCAAACTTTATATTTCAATATCTTAATCATCTTCTAAGATACAAACGAACTAAAAATAGCGTTCTTAATTTTTGTATTGAGTAATAAAATTTGGGGGTAGGATTTCTTATAGTTTGTATCTAAGTTTTTCCGATGGAAAATCGAATCCAAAGCCCTTTTAATGGTGTTTACCATTTTTATATTTAAAACGTTTAGTGCTCACCTTCTGTTCTTCCTCTAATTCTTTGACGGTATTTATAATGTTATACAATTTCCCGATCGCTCCCGGCTTGGTTTCTGGTTCTGCAGACTCCTGTAGATAAAAAACCGTTGCTTTTAACTCATTTTTTTATATAACTGGAATAGCAACCTAGCTCCCACTAGACGGACCACCACCAGATAACCGTCGCTTGTATATATTAATAACTCTATAGACTACAGGTTATCATGTGATATCCGTGGTATTAGTTAAGCGTCGTTGCCACACTAGTCCTCCTTTCACTTGTGAGTGAACCACATATCCAGTCGATATTTTTTGGGAAAGTAAGTTTTTTATTTATAACCTATCATCTAATCAATACCTACTGCTGAATAGCTAGTTACTTAGTACAAAAACTTACATATACATGTTTTTACGTAAGGGGGAAAGAGATTACATTAAGATTGTATATTGAAGTCTCTTGTTTCTGTGTGTCGCATTTGTAAATGTTAACTAATAAATTTAATTTTTCTATTTATTTGAATGTATTTTCTTCAGGAATTCAAACAAAACCATGAGTCACTTTATATTTCTGATAGATTTTCCGGTAATGGAAAACATATCAAATATATAGGTTTGTGAATGCGTGTGTGACAACTGACCGTAGGTTCCGGTTCCTGCAGCGCGTTGAGAGATACGTGCGCCATGAGGCTGTCGTGGAACTCCATCATCTGCGCGATCAGCTCCTCACCACACGGACAGTTCTCCTTATCCTCTTCCTCCATGTGTTTGAAGCCTGCAATTAGATACCATATATGTAATTTCTACCATAAGGAAAATTTTATATACTAATAAATGGTAAAGAATATTTAAAAGCATTTTTTTATAATACAGAAATAAGTCAAAATTTTCATTTTCATATTAGCTTAAATAAGTGGGACAAGTGTATACCACACTAAGTTTAACACTTAAGAGACTGAATTCACACCATGTCGACACCAAAAATCTATGTGTTTATATCCATCACCAATATTAAATAAAAAAAAATCTGGGAGATGACTGTCATCTCAAGCATGTCAAAATCGTCTCTAAATGTCGTTCGCTCTGTTTTGGTGGAAGCGTTTACCATAACATCGACAGTTAATAAAAAAAAAGACAATGCACCTGAGTTTTTAAGTAGGTACCTTAGGCACTAATTAATGACGACTTAGGCTTTGAAGCCAGCTACTGCAAGGGAAACCCCAAGTAGCGCCCGTGACTAGTGACACGGGTGTAGGTTTAAAAGGCCCTTTTAGAATGCATTAACACTCACCTTCACTACTTGCAGCTTCCTCTCAGGCTCAAATAAGACCGGGATAAACCGATTCCTAATACAATTCACTTTAGTATCCAAAATACAACTGGCACGCTCTGCGCTCGTCGACTGAATGCCGCGGCTCACCCAACGAAAGAGGATTATTCACCTACCGACCTCCGCAATTTACAATATTTGTAATAACCTTTCCATTGGGTACTTCATTAGTACTAAACACAAACTATCTTCTTTAAATTTCTTTTTAAAATATTGAATTTTTTTCTATAATATTGATGTGAACTCTAACTAGTTTGAATTACCCGACTGAATAGAGTATATCGTATCGAGTATAATCGAATAAAGGTATTGTAATATCATAAGTATATAATTATAATTAGTTAGTATGTAGTTATTGTTCACTCACTAAGTATAGCGTTCATCTGTTCCCGCGGCGGACAACGGAACTCCCTCGTTTTCTTGGCGGCTACCGCGCTTGGCAAGTCCGACTGTTTGATTTCTGTATAACGCCTGAAAATTACACATTTATTTATTTGTAACATTTTATTGCATAATTAATAGTACCTGGGAGATCTGCTAGATGGTGCTGATTATAGAAAGCAAGCTATGTATGGTATGTTTTTTTATCTATAATCGCATTTAAGAAGGAAAATAACATCAATCATCAACAGCCCATTGTAGTCCATTGTTTTGACATAGGCCTTTCCCAAGACACGGTCTTCGGTCCTTCTGTTCCAGTTATTGCCCCCAACCCGACATATGTGATCGCTGCGGGGCATCCTACGCTGTTTTTATATTTTTGAGGTACCCAGACGACAGAATTTGTGCAAAGTCTACCACGATTTTTTTTTATTTCAGTCACCTTTCATATTTAAGCAATTACCTTTCACCTTTACCAGCAATAAGTTCTATATTGGACGTATATCTAAAGCAGCACAAGCAGGCTCCTGCCATGGAGAGAAGCTCGAGCGGTGAAGGTGAGGGTGGAGCCAATTAAAATCTACACCGGGTCACAAGTCCCGGGAACTGATCGCAGTTTCCCTCTCTACAGGATGGACCCAGCTCCTGCACGTTGAATGGCAAGAAATTCGTCTCATTCATACCTCAATTGATCAGTCTGCAGGTCACCAACGAAATCGTGAGCAAACGCAATGATAGCTTCCACTCTGTGCCGCAGTTGTATGTCGTTCAGATGTTGAAGCAAGTAGCACATCTGCAGTTTTGCACCTTCCGCCATCTTCATGTGTAATAAGCCTTTTCTATGTTCGTCTTTTGCTTCTGTATGTTTGGTAAAATTGTTTTTTTATATTATTGGAATAGCTATATTTATTTTATCATATTATTATCATTACGACTAAAATAGCCTTAAATTAATTTATATTCTTAATAAAAATTATGTAATGTTTTTGGGCACACCACACCTATTTAGAGTTTTATTAAATTTTTATAAAATACTTTTCTTATATTCTTAATTATTGTTCTCTTGTCTGTCACTTTTTTCGAAACACACGTCTTTACTAATAGGGACCATAATTTTTCTTTAACAGTCCTTACGAACCCTTAGTGGGTACTTACCCTTAAAAGTGTTATCTGTATACACGTGATTGTGTGTGTGTAGGTGGGTGAGTGTGTGTTACAGGGTGTTGCAATTTTAATAACAATTTTAGTAATCACCTTTGTCAAATGTGGGATCCCAGGTTTCGGGGTTAATCATGATAAGTAGTTTCTCTACATCTTCATCACGCATCATGCCCACCAATAGAAGACGATCTACCAATTTTATAAGTGGTCTGAAACAATACATAATCTCATTCATTAGCTGACTTTATGATACGTTAAGACAATGGTAGTAAATCATTGCACTTAATCATATTATGGGCCATTTATACGTTACACGTTAAGGGGGTAGAAGATCGAAAAAGTGTGAATATAACAATATGTTGAGTTTTAATAAAAGAACAACTTTACATTTTATTTTATTACAAAGATAATACTAACAAGAACAAGTTTTCGTTGCTTCCACCGACGGGATCTCGATTGTGGACCTGATTGGTTTCCACAGCTTCGGCCAGCGCTTGCATCACGAACTCCCTGACCACCTCCAAGGGGAAGTAGGGGGAGTAGAGGTTGCTAATGTCGTGTATGCTATCACTGAAATGAAAAAGGAAAGTTTATATAAAGATGTTTTTCAAATTGGCAACTAGAATTCTTACATGATAGCAAATGTCAATTGTCGCATATAGGATTATTCAAAAAGGGTATATTAACGTTTCTTAAGGATGGGCAACGCGCACGTGACACCTTGTGTTTCAGGCGCCAATAGGCTACTGTAACCGTTTAAGATCAGATGGGCCGTAAAGTCGTAGTTAAAAATAAATATAAACATGTACAGCACTATGAACATATCATCATGATGTCCATTCTTTCTTTCCTTTCCCTCACGCGTTGCTATTTCTGAGAACTGTCTTATGCATCCGACCTTTGAAATTTTACTGCAATATCTCATCTTTCATACTCTAATCCAGTTTACAAAGCACATTGCTTGGCGGAAGAAGCAGGTGGGACATAGATACCTATTCAGACGATTGGTGTTGTAACATTGAAATGAATAAATAAATAAATAAAAATAAATAGATTTTGTAAAAGGCTAGAATCATGTTGTATAAGGAATACTAACGTGATATCAGTCATCTTCATCTGGGGGCGTACGCTTTCAGTCTGCAGCGATCGCAACGAGTGTCCCATTTCCGGATCCTCGTACAAGGACTTCAGTTCCGGTCCCAGTGGAATCACGAACTCGTTTTTGCATGTCTCCCTGTATAAAAACGAACCAAATGCTACAAAGAATATACTTTTCAAATAGATGTATATTATAGAGGAGATAAAAAAAGGTTTGCAGTAGTCGCTTATGAACATCTGAGTTGAGCTGATGCAGTACCGAATACTGCACTAATACTATATTTTGTGTTGTTAAAGGACGCATAGGAAATACAGTTCAGTACAGCACAGTACACATTTTTAAAAACAATGTTTATATGAATGAACGTATACAACCACAAAAGTTTGTGCCTCCCAGGTCGTATCTTGATGCTGTAACTTGTTTGTATACTCCTAAGGGGTCAGGACTCGCCGATTGATCCCCGGTTCATTTCAAACGGGTACGAAATGAACCTGAGTCGATGTTCGAACCTCTAGTGGTGCCCTCAGATTAAAGTCCCAACAAGGGGGAGTGGGCCTTGGGCCGCTCCATAAAGCCTTACTTTTGATTGGAATGCCATTTGTACTTGCGACCTATCGCTTTGTGAAGCTATAAAGGGCAGCTATGACCAAAAGCATTAGAGTATGTTTTGACAATCTTGAAAATATATATTTACTTCAGATTTCAGATTATTAACCATGGTGTTACAATTTCTGAGGGTACCGCTAGGGGTTTGAATCTCGGCTCAGACCATCGTAATTTCGATCCATGTTTGAATTGAGCAGAGGATCGGATGCGCTACGTAATCGATGTCAGGATCTCCATATACATTAAGGTTTATTGCGAACTCACTCATATAATTGGTACACAGAAAAAAATTTTTATTTGTGTCTACAATTGCTGCTTATAATAAAATTAAGAGGTAATAATCGAGACGAAACGGCCTACAACTAGAGGAGGCCAACCGTCTCTGCTATTCTGTTATAGCCTTTATTAGTAAATGAATACAATACACAATCAACGACATTTAATCCCAAAACTGTCCTCTATTAACAAAGTAAACATACAAATGATGTACTCACATGGTGGTGGCGTGTGATTCCAAGTGCAGTGCGATGAGGAGGTCGTAGAAGCCCTGCCTCAGCGGGCCCGACATGTACTGGGACTGAATTGCGTACAACAGTTGTTTCTGGTCCACGTGTTGGCATAACGCGTGCGCAGCTCTGTAATTACAAAACTTTACTAATATACACGTACATATCGTGTAGTATCAACATATAAAGAGGATGATGAAAGATCGCGGAAAGTGGCAAGAGCTCCATCAAGAAGAGAGTGGTTCTTAAATTGTGAATAAATGAATACACTTAAGACATGCCTTCTGGAATGGCAACGCATGAGTGGTATCACGAATGTCACATGATAACGTAATATCCAGTGATATGAGATGCTTATAATCAGTTGGACCGTGCTTATGATGCTTATAATCAGCTTGTTTGTCATTATACGCTATAACTACAAAATAAAATCACAAAACGCGATTCAGTCCCAAGCTAAGCAGAGCTTGTGATATGAGTACTAGACAGCTGATAGAAATACTTAAATATATATTTTGTAAATACATACATAATATACATGGAAACCAATGCTCACAATAAAAATGTTTGTATTGTGCGAGGAATCGTAACCGTGAGCGTCAGTACAGTACAGATCGTGTACAGTAAAGGGTTTAACTAAATCGTTAAACCATCGAAATCGTAATAATTAAGTAATTTTGCCCATTGCTGGGCGTCTGAGTACAAACTTACCTGTAATTACTTTGGTAGCATAATGCAGCATACAGTGTGAGTGTATGCGAGTGGAAACTGAGCAGTTTGTCCATTTCAATGAGTTCTAATATGTCTATACAGCGATCTTCCTCTGAAATTAAAATTACCGATTAGTTACCGTAATTACCGTAGATTTGACATATCATAAGAGTCTGCAATAGACCCACACTAATAATATTTAAATTTGATTTGATTTGATTTGAACAAAAAATATTTAATTACTTACCTGGTATATGAAGAGCTAGCATGGAGATAGCGTCTTCACAGAGCATAGACCAGCCGCGGATATCTGATAACTTCAGAGCATGCACTTGGAGGGATAAGTTTGGTACCTGCAGAAAATAATAAGATATAAAAAATTATAGAATTTAAAATTAAAAAGAATACTCCAAATAAAAAAAAAAGAAATTAGGGCTAAAAACTATCGCAAACACGTCAACATTCAAACAGAAACAAACTACTACATAGTAGGTCCATTCGTTTAAATTTGTACGGTTTTTACCTACTAAAAACTATACGGTATGCCATATACCAGAATCATAGCGGTGCGACCGTATTTCACGTCTACCATAATTTTGACGGCAGCATCCTACACTGTATATGTATAATAAGTTGACTTACCCTAGCCCATTGATGAGGTTTGAGGCACTGGATCTTCAACCTCGGTGGGAACTGAGGTATGACGTGTTTGTCACTAGTTGGTAGCACAGCTGCACTGAGAGGTAGACTAGTGCTCGATCTTCCCAGTTCAATTTGGAGGATCTCTTTGGACGTTGCTTCCACGAATATGGCTGGAAATAGCTTGGTTTCTGGTTCCATCTGTGGAAATAATCGTTTAGGTTAGCAGATAATTGAATTATGGTGTTTTTATAGTATGGGGATAAACAATCCACAATTCCAATAAGTGTACGGATACCGTGAGTGCTGTATGTTAGGATCTTTCGTTCTGCTGGCTCCTACCGACTTTGACATTGCTGTTATAGTCAGCTCGTGACCACGGCTAGTGCAACAAAGTAGAAATGTTGAGAGAGCTAAATACCTTTATTTACCACAAAATTATTCGTGGTAAGGATTCCACAAATAACGGAAAATGAAAATCACCTTAAACTTGATGCTGGTCTCTTTCCCCTCGCACGTGAAGGAGACAGTCCCTGTGGAGGTGTCGACGGAGCACCCCACAAACATCCCCTGAGCACCCTTGCCAGTCGCTTCTGCCATTACTTCGTTATATAATTCATCAGCTCTCACCATATAACATGACTGGCGATTCACACTGCAACAAAAAAATGTCTTTGTAGAGAATTATCTGCGTGGTTACCTCAGTAAAATAAAAAAATAAAAATATCTTTTTTCATAGACACTTTCAATTCACATATTCTTATGATATGTTAAGTTCGCAGTGCTTTCGAGCTAACAACAATTAACGAGAAACTCAGTTCTAATTAAAAGAAAAACATTATCCTGAGGAGATAAAAACCATCGCTTCTAAGAATATCCATCAATTCTTGTTCCTGACGGGTCTAGGTAGCGAACTTTGAAATTGGGTGCACAATGGATCTATGTTGGTCGCAGCGCTACAGATTTAAACACCTGACAATAGTCTAGACCCCTTAATAAAAAAAAAGAACAACTCAAACGAAACTCGGCTAATAACCATGGTAGTTTTTATTTCAACTGTAAAAATATTTATGGTTTTACAATAACTCAATATTCCTATTTATAATTATTAGTAATTTCATCACAATGGGCTAACTGACATTGTTTAAATCTCATCGTATCTCCACTGGTGCCTTGCCAGCGCAACCCGTTTGCGCAGGCGGGTGCACCATTGCCAACAGTAATAGAGAAAAAGCTCTCTTAGATTATTTTTAATTGAATAATTCACAAATTGATAACAGACCTCTCAATGACCCTGTCGTAATCATCGGTGATGATGACAGATGATTTCATCACCTTGCCTTGATTGAAGTCTTTTGAATGTAAGTGGTACTGTGTTGTCACCCAACCAATGTACACGTGAGTTGGATCTTGGCCGGGGAATATTCTGGAAAAAAAAATATTTATACGAAAATGTATAAAAGAAATGACACTGTAAATGTTGTTATGATGAATATATTTATTGGAATATTTGCCATTCATCCGTTTATTTTCAATGTTTGTATTACACCGTATTATAAATCTGGGGGTTTGAATAAGAAGGGGGGATTAAGGATTGTTAGCAGTGGAGCTAATTGGACTTAGTTGTTAGTACCTATTTGTTAACAAAGTTGGAAACTTTCGTCGGTAACTTCTAGAGAATTCGTCGCGATAGGCTAAATGACCTCAAGCTCGTAGTATCATTCTCCATTGGAGAGGACGCGACAGAATATACCGTCATCATAAACGGGTCTGCCAATCCACTAGCAGCCATTATACATATCTTAAACTTAGTAATATTATAAATGCGAAAGTTTGTGAGTATGGATGTTTGTTAATCTTTCACACAAAAACTACTGAACGGATTTTGATTAAACTTTACAGTAATATAGCTATATATCAGAATAACATATAGGCTATATTTTTTTATTGAAATTTAACGTGGCCGAAATCGTGGGCACTACTAGTATACACATATATACGAAAAAAATTAAATCGTGACGAACTTAATTTGATTACAGGAAAGTAATTAGTTTCCAAAATCAGAAAAGGACTCGGAAAGAAATCGGTTAAAATTTTCTATCTTTTCTATGGTATAACTGATAATGCTCGTTTTTAAGCCCAATAAAGTTACGTTTCTATATTGAAACTTACCTGACACCGTAAAAGTATTCGTTGATTAATTTCAGACATTCAGCATCGAAGATCTCATTGCCCACTGTTTCAGTCGTCGCCGCGGAGAGGGCGCTAGTTGTCATCTGTTTACGATCTTGCGTTGGTGTTGCCATTGTCAAGTTAGTCTGAAGTGCAAAAACCAAACAATATGAATCATACTAATATTATAAATCTATAGAAATATTTTGTTTGGTTGTAATAATCTGTCATGCGATAATCTTGGGAACTACTGGTAGGAATTGAAAAAAAATTATTTTAAATTGATTCTTGTAGGTATTATTAAAAAAAAAAAATAGTAGTCTTCCCAGAATAATGTATATGTATGTAATATATAATATTATAATTTATTATTATAATAATTAGTACACAAATAAAGTAAGCCATTTCAGTCAGTTAAAATATAATAAATGTATGTATATACAATGTACTTACTATGGAACATTTCCAATACTAATAAACATTATACCTTAAATTCACTAATGAATTTGTCAGAATTGTAATAAATTACATAGCAGATATAGCTGTATAAATTCCTATATATCGCTGCATATAAAGTATAACACTACGAGTCAGTGTTCAGAATAGAGAATTTATATATATTTATTAACATTCTCATATATTAAATAAGAATTAGCTTTAATCAATTTAAATAGTATTTGTAAGTCAGTAAGTAATTTAATTTAAAGTTCCTAAATAAAATTAAAATATAATGAATATTATTTTCGACCACATTTTTAGAACTTACATTGAGTACGCCATTGCTTCCATATAAGTAGGGCTTGCTAGTCCTGGGTAGCATGTTGTTATACCTTTGATTTGCCTTTTTGTAAAAAAATCAAACAAAACTAAAACAGAAACTCATATACAAAATGGAACTCAACACATTACCAAATAGAAATATTTAATATTCTTAAAACTATAACGTTTGTAATATTGAATATTCCTACTTAAAAAGAAATTAATAAAAAATCGCAAAATATTTCATGCATTCTGTAAAATATTGGTAGTAGGAATTAACTTGATAAAAAAACAAAAGAAATTTCAGTTATTTTTAAACTACGAAAGTTTAAAAATAACTGTTTAATATACATTATTTATATTATTAACCGGGTCATAACATGAATAATTTTATGGTAAATAAATACGGTTAACATTATAAAAAAAAAGAAAAAACAAGTTCATAAATTCATGAACGATTTTTATGTACAAAAATAAACAAAACCATTTCAAACTCTTTCCCATATCACATACTAATCTGCTACTACTTACTTGTGAAACTCTGATCTGTGGGTTGGGTCTGCGCATGCCTCTTTCAGGCGAGACCTCCGTATCACTAAATGGATCTGGTGTTTTTGATTTCCGAGATTTCGATCTATCGCCACTTTCACCACGTTTGCTCTTGAAGAACCTGAATCCAAAGGATTCTTTTATTTTATTTCAATTAGGATAGCAATTAGGGGAGATCTTTTTAGATAATGTATAGATAACTTATTTATTTATTTATTGACATTATACTAAGCGACCTTTACAGTTTCCCAATATGCTCACTTAGGAAGATATGTCATCATCATTGCCTTGCCTTTATCCCATTATTTGGGGTCGGCGCAGTATGTCATTCTCTTCCACTGCTCTCTATCATTCGTCATATTTGAGCATACTCTTTTTTTATTCATATTATCTTTCACACAATCCATCCATCTTTTCTTAGGGCGTCCTCTCCCTTTACATCCATCCACATTCATATTATACACTTTCCATAAGACATGATCCTCGTTCCTCCTCAAAACATGCCTATACCAGCTCAATCTGTTACCTCGCAACTTTTCTATAACCGGCAAAACTTTCAAACTTCCTCGTATATATACATTCCTTATTCTGTCATTCCTGGTGACCCCACACATCCATCTCAACATTCGCATTTCTGCAACATGCACACGCCTTCCGTCCGTCTCCTTTACGGCCCAACATTCAGATCCATACAAAATGACAGGTCTTACGATAGATTTATAAACAGCATTAGGAAGATATGTATATATAATTAAAATGTACACAAAAATTATAATTAAAACAATCTCTGATATTCTATCTAAATGCCATCTACTGCCATCCTACCATAATTACTAGTTAATTTATGATGTCAATTGTATTCATTGTGTATCTACATTTTGTTAAAACACAATATTGAAATGAATAGTCACAATATTGTTAAACAGATAAAATTTTAACAGTCGTTGTTTTGAGTTATTCTTCATATGCATATTTTCATGTACAATTTGCTATGGTTCTCTTTCTTACTTTCATAAGAAACCTGGGGTGATTTTACAAAGATAATTATAATAATATGGTCCACTTACTTGAACGGCGACCGTCCACGCTTATCTTTTTTGTCCTCAGTATTTTGAACACCCAATTCATATTTGGCCATCTCTGCTTCACTTGTAGTGCGATGCATACCGTTGACTTGACCTAAAATCACAAATATGTACATTATTCTATAAGAGTTAAGGTTACATTTCAACTGTTAAATAGCGCGAAACAGGAAAGTTAAAATTGTTTGAGAAAAGTACAGTGGAGAAAATTTGCAACTGGCAATAGTTTTAAATTATTTTGTTGCTGAAAATAGTTATGATTGAAATAAGTTTTTAATGAAGAATATGAAACTCTTTTATAATGTTACTGAATTTTACTAGATAAAACTAGTTCTATTATCTCTGTTTATGGAAGACGTAAGAGTTAGATGCAATGCAATGCAATGCAAATGTATATGTATGTATATGTACAAAAATTGTTATATCGTAGTTGTATAACTACATAAGTTATGATAATAATGAAATATTAATATTGTAACATTTAAATTAAAAAATGTAAATCATCAAAAGAAGAAATATAAAGATATATCTATATTGAAAGCTAGAAAAATAAACCTATAGATAGAAATTAGTTGTCAGCTCTCTGTCTATAAAGATTATGAATATACAATATTGAAGACGAATGCAAAGTCGAAATGACATGGCAGACAAAGCTTAAAACGCATCAATAGACCTGGTTGCAAATTGTAATTCTGTATAGTAACGCCTCTAGTCACGGAACCCTTCCTCGGTGGTCTCGACGGTTGCCTCTTCAATTTGGAACTGGGCACTTCTTCTTGGTTCTCGTCGTAGTGGAGGCCTTTGGTTTTGTGGGGAGTAAAAAATAATAATAAGCACAATGGATGGGCGTCAGTTGTGGTACCGCAAAATAAAAAGGTTTATAATAAAGATTTTAAATTCAAAAGGTATGTGTAGGTTTGAAGGTCAATTATGGGCTTGGGCCAAACTTTTTGTCAAGCTAAACATTTTATTTTATTATTTTGGAGAGTTTTATTTGGGAGAGAGAGAGAAACATTTTTTTTTATTAAAATATAAGCAGAATGAATGGGCGTCAGTTGTGTTAAAGCGAAATAAAAAGGTTTATAATAAACATTTTAAATTAAGTAGGTATGTCCAATTTTGGCGGTCAGTTATGAGCTTGGGCCAAACTTTTGTTTTATTACTGTGGGGAGAAAAAAAAATAAGCACAATGGATCGTCAGTTGTGGCACATATGGTATATATGAATTTAAATTCAATAGGTATGTGTAGGTTTGTCAGTCAATTTCATAATTGAGCTAAACTTAATGTCAAGCCAAACTTTTTTGTCTTATTAGATGTTTGGTGCAATAAAGAGATTAGGTATATAAAAAAATATATAAATGCTATGCATGATAGTACCTTTGATATCGTTCATGGTGAATCCACTCCTCATGATCTGATCTATGTGTGCTGGCATCTGGGCTTCGGTGGCCTCCTTCATCAGGATCTGCTGTCTATCTTTGATCTCTACCCAGCGACGAGCTTTTTCTGCCTCACTGCAATACATTTCTTTTGATTAATAATAATCTAGGACAATTCACACAGCGCCATCTAGTCCCTACGTAAGCAGACGTTGTTAAGACGATCGTATACTTACTCAATAAATTGTGAATGACAAATAACGGGGAGAGATAACCGTAGGAACTCCCAGTTAGCCTTCTCCATCGTTTCAAATGTATTGTGAGAGATCTTCAGACAAGGTGGAGTATCTGAAAGTATAAATAACAGCTATCTATAATACAAAGACAACATAATTGGGGGAAGGAAATTGTTAGTAATAGGAACCAACAGCGTAATTGCCATGTACCATGTTAGATCTCCACGCGGTACCCCTGAAAACCATCGTAGTTAATTTATGGTGAATTCTATATGATAGGCTATGACTTAAGGTCATGCAGATATTTTTACATATATGATTTTAGAATAATATATATGTTATGATAGGATGATTCTATGAGTATGATATATGATATAGTATATGGTTTGGTTAGTCTTCTTCCATTAGGATACGATAACCGTTTACTATCATACATAACGTAACCGTGGTGAGGAGATATTTTATTACTTTTGTATATATGTTGATGGAACGCTGCCGATTTTTTCTATACCACGATAGCGGCAATCAAGCATACAGTCCATCTGATCGTAAACGGTGTCCGTAGCCTATGGACGCCTGAACCACCAGATGTCAAGTGCGTGTTGCTGACCTTAAATGTTAATTTTATATATGTACTCACCCGAGCCAGCTGGTATCCTGGTGACGTCAATTCTGGTGTCAGCCATTTCATCCGTGTTCTCAAATATGGGCTGGTCCTTGGTGTACCAATGGGTGACATCTCTCTTCATGTTACTATAAAACATATATATTATATGTTTTTCTATCAGTTACTATAAATATAAAAGCTTCCTAAATACTCCTTTCTGTGATGACTCGATTGATCTCGACTACGAGAGTATTTTTTATGATGTTACCTCAGAATTTATTTCTACGTCAACTGATACTGACGATTTCTTGCTACGAAGCTATTGCTTCTTATATATGGTCGAAACAAGATACTTACTTTTATAGGTCCTAATTTTTAATAGGATAACTTATACGAATATCTAATTTACAGAAATATTACTTTTTAATACTTACACACAGAAAGGCTCATAACCTTCCTGAAGTCCACACGTCGTGAAGTATTTTAGTGAATTCACATCTTGACCATATGTGAGTCTGAAAATAAGTAAACGAATGTAAAATAATACAGTGTGTGCAAATAAGATTTCACTAATAGAAGAAGAAACTGTATTTCGGTTAAAGGGTGAGATAAGGCAGTGACATTATAGGGTAAGACGCATGACATCTTAGTCCTCCGCATTGGTATCATCTCGATACCATTCAAGTACCAATGATATCATCATATCATTGGTACATGAATGGTATCGGGGGCGTCACACTTTCGTCGGGCGGACATCGGTAGTGCTGTTTATATATTGCAGCGGTTACAACTTACCATCATATGAGTCAGCTTATTTGCTATTTGAATTACATCATACACAAAGGCTATTATTTACTTGTAAAAAATTCTTCCGCTTTGTGTTATTTATAATAAATATATACTAAAACACAAAAATAAATAAAATAGACTTTGGAAAATTCACTCGAAAGTTTTAATTTTGAAATTGAATTAAAAAAAAAAATTCCAGCATCTATGAGTATAATATCAGGTTAACTTCTGCATGGTCATCACTAAAAAATATTGGGATTAATTCTGTCTATTCGTTATGATGGGTTTAACAGAACAGACTTTATGCGTATACAATACAATCTTTTCTACAATCTTTAACTGATGCCCCGTCAGCATATACCGTAATTGCAAACAGGAGCACCATACCATACTCACGCATTAAAATTCTGCTTTAAAATATAATTTCTAGTTATTTATTTATCTCAAATCTTTCGTTAATTCTCTTAAATTTTGTTACAGGCTTTCTCTACAAATATTCAGTAGATATAATGTATTGGATTATAAGCAGCTACTTTTCTATTAGATAAATAAATAGTTTTTTTATATAACTGCAATGTGAAATCTGCATTTGTAAGACTTACCTTGCTTTCTGTCCAACACCTAATGTACATGCTGGCACAAAATTGTCTCCTTGTACGTCAGCGAAGGTGGTCTCACCACCCAAAGCGTCCATCAGTAATTCCCCATTTAACGAAAAACCTGATATACGTAACATAATTAAAATCTGATGACTCAGTTATTTAAGAACAATATATTGAAAGATATTTTGTATTTTGACTGGAAAAAAAGAATTATCGTAAGTTTTTTTGGCAAAATAACTGTTATGTAGCATATGCACAAAAATAATGTTTAATAAATAAAGACCTTCTCCTTTAGTTTGTCGATTAAAAGGTAAATTATGTAGAGTATAATTAAATAATATTTTAATTGTTGTTGTTGATAGTAAAATGTATTGTATTTTACTAACTAATAAGATTCAATCGACAATTTCATTAATCATTCTTAAATACAAAAGCTATTTAATATTATATAACAAAAAAAATCACTAACAAAGTAGTATGTTAGTCACAAACAAGCAAGAAGCGATGCTTTTAGTTGAAACGGGAATCGGAATTTTAGTTTTGTAGTATAATGTCATCTATTTCTATTATATAACTAACTACAATATAATATAACAACTGTAAGTCATAATAAATATATTTTAATCAGTCTGACTACCTTTTATCCTAGCCATGCTATTTTTTATTACTAATTATATACTTTATCAAGTGATATTCAAGTTATTTCAATTGCCAACAATAAATAAAGACTAAATGATTGAAAATCGTGAACTCATTTCAGGAATCCTGATTTAATTTGTGCTTTTTCCTAAATTTCGCATGTCAATCCCATAATAACAAAATCCTATTCCTCTAAATAGATCCATGTGAAAAAGAATTGTAAATTTTTTAAGTTTCTTTCTTCATAAAAAATATCTAACTTGCACTCTATGTACAATATGCTTAATGTATATTTACTATTTTATTTTTGTTCTTATACCGTAACTGGTGCAATAAAGAGTATAAAAAATAAGCTTAGGTGAGCCATAGTGGAGAATTTAGAAGCACGTCGGTATACAAGACTCTATATGCCATGTCGGCGTTGAGTCCATTAGGTCTTTTAGTCGAGGTCCAAGTCTACTCGTGTCTGGTTTCAGGAGGTCTTATTACTAGCGACATATTAAAGTATGGTATATCGACGAATACAATCTAATGCGATATGATGCGATTGCTAATTTGTCTAATTTAAAAGCATGAGAACAGAGTTTTTTTTATTTATTCAAATAAACTTAAATTAGGCTCAAATCTTAAATTCCAATAAATTAAAATAGAATTAAGGTATTATATATAGAAATATCTATAATGTTAGTCATAAACGGCATACCAAACCGTAGCCAGACGTACGTACTTATACCGCTTTCATTAAGAAACAAATTGGATTAAAACAAATTTTGTACTATTCATGTTACAGTACATATATATGAAAGCTTTAAAAACTATTTCTTCTCTACAATTTACTTCTTCGTACAAGATGTTCAATTTCGTATTGTACTATTACTAACTTCAGGTTTGGTATATGCTTTAATAACTATTCTATATAAACGTTGCTAAGTAACTAATAAATTTTAGTGACATATAGCACCGCAGCTCACCGCAGCCCATCGCGGTGTATCGCACCATATCGCAAGTATTCAAAATGAAAATATCTTTATTAATGTAGATCAAATTACAGATTCTTATGATATGTCAAATCTACCGACAGTTCGTAGTGCTTACGGGCCAAGAAGAACTGACAAAAAACTCGGCTCTTATTCTTTTCAAGTGAGCTTGTATTTGTATTCAATAATACAGATTAATTTTATCCACAAAAATTTGGTGTCATATTTAAATGCCATCTTTATAGTATTATAAATAGAGGCATTCGCTATAACATTAAATAGTCTAATATTTCCAAAGGATGAGATGGGATAGAGTTAAAATAAGTAGATTATAAGTCTCGACCCTTAGACGAATCTGACCGGGATATTCAATTGAATGTTCTAATTTAATAACAATACAAATAATTTTAAACTGTAGTATAATAATATTAGAGCACTGTTTCGAATAAAGCTAAAACGAAATCAGAATAAAGAGAATGGTTTCAGGATGCCTGATTTTATTCATACTGTATTTTATAGCAAGCTCCTACTAAATAGGTACACGGCAATTGAAATAACAAGAACTATTAATGAAGTAAAACTTCTCAATGGTGTCTAAATTGGGTTCGAAATACCCAATGCTCATGTGAATTTAGTGCAAAACTTCGGAATTCAAGCAAAGCGATGCGGTGGCTGTATTAGATTGGAAGCAAAAATGTTCATTATGAATTTATGCTAGCCTCGATTTATCGGTATTCAATGCTTTTAGCAGTGTGGCAGGAACATTTTCATATTCATAATAGATACTTAGTAATAGGGTTTAATTTAGTTAGTAGGTAAAACCCTACAACATTCACGATAGTATACATACACGTAAAACAGATAAAATATTTAGTTCAGATTGACTCCATAAATACATACAAATCTTCATCGATTGTTATCCTAGATAGGATTAGTCGGACGCATAGTCAGTAATCGTGACGCTTCATATTCGCACAGTGGTTAGGCGTCCGTACTGAATATTTGTAGTATCACACATGCCAATGGTAGAGGAATTAAACAAAGTAATATAAATCCATTAAGTAATTAAATGGACTTCTGCAAATTAACACCTAATTCGATAAAATAAGAAATTTTGTTGTGAATATTTGAATCGAATTTGGTAAAGAGCTATAGCAGTTCTTCAGATTAATTTAGTCTGCTATCGAAAAGTTAGGAAGTTAAAATACCCAAAGTTATAGTGTAGGTTTGTTTATATCTCATGATCTTTGAGATTTATAATACGTAAAGATAGTTATAAAGTAACTTTTCGTACAGAAGTATAAGTATAAATGTCATTTGAATACATGTTATTGATTTTGGAGTCGGTGTCTAATACAAAATAATTAATATTTATTTAAGAGCTTCTTTTGCTTTATTTGAATATAGTGGATGTATTGAGATGACTGATTAATTAGACTGCAATGGGACACTAATAAGAGCGTACATTTTGAATCTGTCAATCTGTCCTTTGTTACATTTTTAAGACTCAATGATTCCTAAATTTTAAGATCAAATACATTTTTATATGAATAGAGATTGTAATACGAGGTACAAGTAGAAAATAGACTATCTCCTGTCTCAAAAAAGAAGACGAAGTCCCTACTAATCAGCTATTAAATTATAATGTATAAACTAAGCTTTAGCAGATCAATGAGTTGTTTGTCTTTTAATTTTTTCGTGATTCTAATATGACATGTCATTTATGTAATATGAATGTAAAAATGTAAAAAGTAGTATCAACGTGGGAATCTAAATTTACGTATCTCACACAAGTAGGAAGAAAGAGAAAGAAAGTTTAGATAATGTTCCTGCCATAAATATATTTGCCAGCACAAGCTATCCAAAACCAGAAATCGTTTGATATTTACTTATCGTTTTATCGATCAGATCAAGGAATACTCCGACAACGTCACCGACCGCCCATTGCTTGCCGAATGACTCTGTGCTACCGCTGAACACTTTTTCCTCCTTGAAAAGTTGGTAAAATCGTTTCAAGATTTCATTTTGAACGTGCCTATTTTTTTTCTAATTAATATTAGATAAAACAACACTTCTATAAATTTATAATTTCCTTTTTTTCTGACTCTACTAATACGTACGACTTTTGGTTAAATTTAGGAATCATACGGGCTCTGACATAGTTATACTGGCTCTCTACTTCATGAGAAGTGATCAGCTTAGGCTGCAAATATAAAGACTGCAAATATGTAGTCGTCAGGTTACGCAAATATGGTTGGCGAATTTAGTTGCTGCGCACTTCATATTTAAAGAGGGTGCGACGTTGTAATTAACGACGTTGTGTTAACCTTATGACTAACTGAGTGTATATTAGCAACCTTAGAGTAATGATAAAAAAATAATGATTCGATGACTTCTTTGATTATAAAATCAAAAGTGACTATTGGCGACTATCAATAAAAATAATTTCATTTGAGTTAGTCACTGAGCATATATAAAAAAATAATGATGTCCA